AGAAGAACTATGGTCAGAAGAGCTGGAATCGGACTCGTCCCCTGACGAGTCCGAAGAGGACGACGCCTCCCCTCTCCTAGAGGGGCCCGCCTCCTCTCCCTTAGAAGGAGCAGAAGGTAAAGTAGACATGTCCACGGTTAGATGAGAAGGGAACACCTTGGTCCCTCTCTCAGAACTGTCAGCTTGACAGTCGCCTCGTTCCACATCTGGCGCCTGGTCAGATGTTTCGCTAAGGAGTACCCTTTGGGAGGAGCCGTCTGAGTTTGATATTCTAGCAGTCTTTTTTTGTTCTGGCCATCACGTTCTGCATAGACACAGATTCAGTCGGACTTTGTATAAAGGGCAAAGATGGGTCCAGAAAAGGGCAGGCGGCACTCCTAGTCCTAGATTCAGCCGTCCCCGGTGACCGGCTAATCACTAACTTAGGGCGTGTCGTGTGCTTCCATGGTGCCATTTCAAAAAAATAAAAAGAAAATTAAGAGTAAGAGAACTGAGTTACCTGAACGGATGACAGTTGATGAAGTCCTGAAAGTTCGGGTCAGTCGGCTTGTCAGAACAGGCGGTAGGCAGAAAAAGTCCGAAAATGTCAGATCAAGTTCAGGGGTCCGAATGTTCTCGCAAAAATTCTCAAATGTGAAAATGACCGAAGTCAGCACTTCCTTTTATAGGCAAAATGAGAAGGCGAAGGGTCGCTTCCGAATTCAAATTTGGGCGGGAGAGTCTCCCGGCCGTCTGCAAGGTGACACCTGTAACGGGCCGTCGCCTGTCACCGTGCGACGCCTGTCACAGGCGACACGTGACCAGTCGCGTGCCACCTGTGAGGGGCAAATGATTAGGGGATTTTTATCCACCAAGCGCCGTTTGACAAGTGGACCAACCAGGTTCCGCCACGCGTCCTCCACGGACCACTTAAGACACGCCACGTGTCCACCCATGCCAAATGGGACAACCGGCCATCAAGGCCCATTTCAGTCTAGAAGCCCGATCGGCCCTAGGTTTACCTTAAACCTAGAGAGTTGCACGCTTCCCAAGGCTATAAATACTCGATTAATCCTCATTAATCAAAGGACCGAATAATTTACGGAACACACTAATAACCGGCTGATCTCGCTAGCAAAGCAGATTACCTACATTAAATACTCTCACCTAGAGAGACCTTATTACTTTAATTTCTGTATTAATTACTCCTTAATCAGGTACTAACTTGACCGTTGGAGGCGGAGCTCTCAGGAGTCTCCGTTATTTTGCAGGTACAGGCGTCCGGTTCCAGTCTCGGAATTGTAACTCTCCCGCAGGACATCAGAAAACCCCGAAACACCACGTATTAAAGTTAATAAAGTTAATGGTCATGGAAGTAAATTAATTAGGGTTTATATAATGATGTACCACGTATTAAAGTTAATAAAGCTAATGGTCATGGAAGTAAATTAGTTAGGGTTTATATTTGTGTGGGTACCAATCGTACCACAAATTAAAGTTAATGGTCATGCAAGTAAATTAAATAAGGCCTGCTTTGTTATATGGTATAAAATGTTGAGTCGTATAGCATTGCCACGTGCATAAGATGAAAGTGGCGGAGATGCGTATGTTGCGATGGATGTGTGGCCATACAAGAAAGGATTGGTTGAGAAATGAGATAATTAGGAAGAAAGTAGGGTTTACATCGATTGAGTTCGCTTAAGATGGTTTTGCCATGTAAAAAGGAGACCAAGTGACGCTCTAGTAAGGAGTCTTGAAGAATTGCAAAGTGTTGGGATCGTAAGAGATAGGGGAAGACCTAAGAAAGAGGACGATTGAGAGTGTCATGAGTGCTTTGAAGATTGAAGAAAGGATGGTGTTGGATAGGCCGGTGTGGAGGGAGAAAATTCGCGTCAACGACGTGTCGTGATTATATATATATTTTCTAAATTTATTTTAATATTTAATTTTGTTAATTACCCCACTAATGTTTTATCAACTGTATAAATTTCCTTTGCTAAAGTTTTCTCAAACCTTTATGTTTTTACTCCAACGTTTTAAACACTCCTTGAATACTTTCTTAAAACTTATTCTTGCTTCCCTTTTAAAACTCCCTTAATTTTTCTTGGTTGCTCTTCCTTTTTCTCACTTTACTCACCTTTTTTCAAACTTTTTCAAATGATTATTTGTTATGTCATTTTATTTTTTTTATTCGATCGTACGATTGCTTATGAGAATTCATATTAGCCGACTCCAAATCATTTTGGGACTAAGCCTTTGTTATTATTATTTTTTTTTTTCTTTTTCCCGACAACAACTAGTAAATGTTACAATGTCATTGATAATATATTAATAAGCATGTCAGATAGTCAATACTATTTGAAGGCAGAAGGATCATAAAACATTAGTTGTACAGTTGGACTTAAAGGTTAAAGAAGGGCCAACATTGGATTGTAGTTATGGTACGTACAAAAATGAAAAGGATCGACTAAGAAAATGCGGATTTACTATTATTTAGGAAAATGAGAATATGTGCGGAAGAGGGCAAAAGTTGACATTATATGTTGGACTTCGAATATGAATATGCACCAATTTCTTCAAAAGCAATCAAGGTGCTACACTTGCAAATTAAAGAGTGTCCATAGGTCCATGGGAGGATCTAGACACAGTACATATTTAGATAATAAATAAACTAATCATCGCATATAGATAAAGAGTCCGGTCTACTCGTTATTAATCTTATTTAAAACTTATCTTATTTGAATTTATTAATTTTTTTTGAACTTATTAATCCTAATTAAGTATAAGTAAGATGAACATAGCCTTATTTTTTTGTTTACTAATATTTATAACAATTCAACTTTTACACTATTCCTTTAACTATATGTGATGATTTGTACTCAACGAAAAGCACGATCATGTGATTTTGTTAGACTAATCTTGGTGCGTATGTTCAAAATATCAAGATTTTTTTAAAAAAGTTTTTTACTTATTAAGTAATAAATGTACATGATAGTGTTACCCGTATTAAGAAATTACATAAATGTGTTGATGCAAGATTTGACGCGAGCAGTGATTTTCAATTCGGCAACCATAATTACTAATATTTTCTTAATCAAAACCATAACTACACCGCTTCAAGTTTTTGACGCAAGCAGTGATTTTCGATTCGAATCTTTACAAGTAGAGACCTTCGCAATTTGTTATGATAGTTTGATTGCAAAGTTGATGACAAACTCTAAATCATATAAATCATAATCACCTTCTAAATTATTATTAGAATCCTAAAAGTAAAATCCTCATCCATATATGAGAATCAAAATCTTAGAAAATTGGGATAGAATCTCACAAATGGAGAGAGCAGAGCAATGCAAAACTAAACATGCAAAAAGCAAAACAAATCAAAAAACTATATAAAATTAAAGAAAAAAGGTCAAAAATAGTCTAATTTATGAAGAAATTGTATTATTTTTGGCCTAAACAACCAAGAAAATTAACCCTAGAGGAGGGAAAAGAGAGAAGGGGGGGGGGGGTTGGATAACTTTATTAACCCTTATTTCGTTTGAATTTATCATAGTTTGTAAACCTTATTTAAAGGTATCTATACATTTTTTTTCCTTGAAATAAGTGCACAGTGAACAAAGTCGTATTGTATAGGATACCACCAACTTCTTCTAGGTCTAATTTGTGTTATTTGAACTTTTTTAAACAATTTTTTCTTACAATAAGTGGATATAAGGTGAAGTGAACAAAGTCGTATTGTTACAGAGAATACCAACTTCTTCTAGGTCTAATTTATGCCAAATTGAATCATAAAATTAATTTCCTATGAGTTATCGTTAAATGAAATTCTCTTTTCATAATTGAATATATGCTTTCACATAATACATGAAGATATTGATTCATTTATGAGAAGAGAAGCAAACACATGCTTACCCCGTAAATTAAAAGAAGCTCAGGAGCTTAGGGTAAAGAAAGGTTTTAAGAAAACTTTTTTATCCCTTCAAATACATTTAAGTTCAAGTATACAAAAATTCATAGGTTCATGGAGTATATTTGACTATTTGTATATTGTGTATTTCGTTTTCATGGGCTTCCAACTAGAGAATCAAGCTCACAACATTTGGATGTCAAACATACACAAGGCCGATAGGCCCAATAAACATTGGACTAGCAATGTGGAGTGCCTTTTGCAGTTTTGCACCACAGAGAAACCTTCAATTTATATTGAGTAACAACTTTCTGATTGTTTTGTGGTTGGTAAGGAAAAGGGTCCGAACCTCTCATTAATTCACCCAACCCAGAGCAACTACTGGCACCCTTTAGAAGTTGGGTGGGAAGAGAATATCAACCTCCTAAATGGATCCAATCAAAGTATCAAACAAAATTTTATGCTCTGTATACTATTAGTTCATATCACTTTCTCAATATCCTAATATTGCAATATTTTATCTTTGTCATTGTTCATATAATCATATACGTAGTACTTGCATAACAAATTTCTAACTATAGTCACATATTTTATTAATATATATGAGAAATGTGAATGGATTAAATTGATTTTCTTATAAAATATTTTCTCCGTTTTTTAATAAGTGTAACATTTGAACTTTTATATTTACCAATGCACAACTTTGAACATTAATTAGTATCTTTAACTAATCGTTGTTTAGAAAAAGGGTATAAAAATTTAATATTTTGGAAGTATATGAGAAGTACTTAAGTTTTTCTTACTTAACAATCACAAATGATGACCAAAGGGGTATAACGTGAAAAATGTCTTAAATTATAATAACCGGAAATACAAATTAAAGTGGTACTCTCTCTATCCTAGTATAATCGATATTTTTGACATTTTTTTATACTAATCTTGACCATTTTTTAATAATGTAATAAAAACAAAAAGTATCATAAAATTTATCATTAAATAGACATTAATATAATCACAATATCAACTTTTTAATATTTTTTTTACTATGATTTAATTAATTATATATATTTAAGGTCATCGTAATGTAATTAATTAATTTTTGTGTAAAAGAACTATTTGCAAAAATAAATAGAGAGGATATTATACTCGTAATACACTTTTATGGAATCTTATTTGATTCGTCTCGATATATGGAGTAATCCGATAATCCGTATCATATTACAGCATATACATACTTACAAGAAAGAAATAAAAAAATGTCTGCAACACAGCGGTAGAAGCGGGGGAAGAAAGGAGGTCGTGAAGAGCACAAAATGCAAGAAGATTGAAATGTTCATTACCTTCCCTCCCATTCCCAACGATACGTCAACTGTCAACTGCCACCTTCCTAACACCTCTCCCTTCCATTTTTCTCTCTTTCTTCTAAAAATAAACTATTTCCTTTATTTTCCATCCACCACTTCTTACCCATTTTCATCTTTAAATTAAACATAATCGTTACACCTCATATTATTTTATTAAAAAAAATTTAAAAAAATATATACAAAACAAAAATCTAAAAAAATAAAACATTAACGAATCAAATTTTGTTCTGTTTCCTCCATTCCCGCTATGATCCTTCTTTCTATGTTTCCTTCCTTATTCCATTTCCTCTTCTAATCATTATTCGATAAAAACACCTTATTTTCATTTAACTCCCCAAAAAAATCCCGTAAAAAAAAAAATGGCAAATAATCATCCTGTGAAATGCTTGAGTTTTGATTCAAGATTTCAGGATGATAACAAGAGCAAAGATGAGAAAGATATTGGCAAATCCTACAGTTTCGTGGCACGAGTCGGTTCAGATTTTAATAATGATAGTCATGATTATAAATCACGTCAGCCTCTAACAATTCATGAAGGTGATGAAGAAGCAGAGAATGAGCAGCAAAACGAGGAGGTGGCAGAGGAGGAGGAAAAGGAATTCACACTTGATCAGCTTTCTGAAGACATTGATCAGTTTGTTCTTTCGCTGTCCTCGGCTTCGAATGATGATGATGATCCCCCTGAAATCTCTAAGGCGGTGGCCATGTTTGTAAAGAAGGTTGAAGCCAAGATCGAGGAATATGAGTCCACTGCTCAGGATTCGATTGTTTTTGGCCGCGATGTTGAGGGCGATGCTTCTTTTGTAGCAGCTGTTAACAGATTGTCACGCCTAATGGAGGCGATTCATGGGTTGAAATCGAGTTACATGATGCCGTTGTTGAATCAGACCAGCTCCGTCCTGCACCGTGCAATGGTGTTCTTAGAGGAGGAGCTGCGTCTGATTCTGGAAGAACCCGTGTGCCAGAATTCGAACAATGCTGCAGATTCTTCGAATTCTAAGCTCACGGATTCTTCGTTGAAGAGCCTCAAAGGGAGGCTGCAATCTTTTGCTTCGTCTGCCCATCCACATGATCATCACCAAGATGAGGGATCAGGGGAAGGGGGAGACTCCTGCGAGGTGCAGGAGGGTGGTGATCCAGAGTCGGAAGAACAACAAGAAGGGAAGGAAACGACAAGTACCTTCCCTTTCTTTTCTTCCGACTCTGTATCAAGCATCCGTCTCATAGCCAATGCAATGATCATTGCAGGCTATGAGACGGAATGCTGCAATGTCTTCCTCATCGCGAGGAGGCACGCCTTTGAAGAGGAGTTGAAGAGGCAAGGTTTGGACAAGATTAGCACAGATGATGTGCAAAAGATGAATTGGGAGCCTCTTGAAGGGGAGATTTCAACATGGATTCGCGTCTTTAAGCATTGCACCTCTACCCTTCTCTTAGGGGAGCAAACATTTTACGAGTCAGTTTTTCCTGATCGCGTACGCACTAGCCAATTCCTTTACAGCGACCTCTCCTACGCTATCCTCTACATCCTTGTTAACTTTGCGGAGGCTGTTGCATTGACCAAACGTGCCACGGAGAAATTGTTCAAATTTCTTGACATGTATGAGACTCTACGTGACACGGTCCCTTGGGTCGAAACTAAAACACCCATGTATTCCTCAGAGGAGTCCATGAAGGAGTTGAAGTCGGAGTTATGGTTTGCAAAGAGTAGGCTAGGGGAGGCTGCGGTGTCCATCTTTTGTCAATTCGAAAACTCAATCAAAGGCGACAACACAAAGACTCCGGTGGCTAGTGGAGCCGTCCATCCCTTAACAAGGTACACCATGAATTACTTTAAATACGCTTGTGAGTACAAAGATACATTAGAACAAGTCTTCCAACAACATTTGAGAACAGAGCAAACAGAGGAATTCTCTGCCATTGATCACTCATCCTCATCCGAACAACAACGCAAGGTAGTAGAACAACAACAACAACAACAGCATCCACATCAACAAGAAGAGAAGCATTCACCATTCGCCTCGCAACTGATGACCATCATGGATTTACTAGACTCGTACCTCGAGTCTAAATCCAAGTTATACAAGGACTTATCCTTAAGGTACATTTTCCTAATGAACAATGGTAGATACATGCTTCAAAAGGTCAAAGGATCGGCCGAGATTCACCAAGTGGTAGGGGATAACTGGTGTAGGAGACGATCCTCAGATGTTAGGCACTACCATAAGAGCTACCAAAGGGAGACTTGGAGCCGAGTGTTACAATGTCTAAACCAAGAAGGGTTACAAGTCAATGGTAAAATACACAAGCCTATACTTAAAGAACGGTTCAAAAACTTTAATCAGTTATTTGATGAGATTCACAGGACTCAGAGTACATGGGTTGTAAGCGACGAGCAGCTTCAATCGGAGCTTCGAGTATCGATTTCTGCTGTTATGATTCCGGCTTACCGGTCCTTCGTAGCGAGGTTTGGACAGATTTTTACTCCTGGAAGACAGGTTGAGAAGTATATCAAGTTTCAACCAGATGACATTGAGACAATCATTGAGGAGTTGTTTGATGGAAATCCTAGTTCCATTGCTAGGAGAAAAATATAGGAGCAGATCATAATTTATTCATATATATGAATTATTACAATGTAGGAAAAAGAATTTGGGTGTGTTTTATTTGTGTTACATTACATACTCATTAGTGTATTTTAATCTTCTGTAATTTTTTTTCTTTTGTAATTTGTGTTGGATAGTACTGTATTTTAATTTATTTTTTTTCTTTTCCCTCCTTTTAGTTAACTTAACAGGATTTGATTCAGAATATTAATTGCTTAGGATTGATGATTCTTCATGGAATATTAAATAGGGGCGGATCTATTAAGGGGCATGGGAGCCCGGCCAATTTTTATTTATTTAGGTGAAGGTATAAATTTATAAATTAAATACAATTTTAATGCATTAAGTAACGATAAATTAGCTTTGTCATAGTGATAAATTGGTAATGCATTAAGTTTGTGCTTAAAGTCTTAGCTTCAAATCCTCATACAAGCATTAGGGTAATTTTTCAGGTTGTTTATTTTATTAGGCCTTACTTATGGAGCACTAAACCTTTACTTAGTTCATAAGTTGGAATGTGAGATCATTGGCTCAATGGAAATAATGCTCAAGTGGGATCATTGGCTTAATGGTTATTATTTTTTTTTTCTTAATTGATGTTAAATTTATCTATTTTTAAATATCTAATTTTCAATGTGTACACTGCACACAAATAATAAAGAATTAACTATAAAAACTAATTACGTTTAACTGACTATTTTATCTCTTGAAATATAACTATATTTATACGTCAATATTTAGAAAAACACTTTGTTTTTTTTTTTTTGATCCGAGAGAGGAGAGGCGAAGCTCCAAAAAGAAAACAAACAAAGAGCTAAAACAGAAAAATAAAGCAAAAAAGAAAACAGAATCTCATTTGAGAGTGCAAGTTTAACGCGTAACTAAACGAGGCCTAGCTACTCCTCTTGCATCCTCATCCAAGTTTAAAGGAATGAAATTAACAATACTAAAGATAGAGTCTTGCAAAACTCCACGGTTGGCCAACCAATTCGCCACTCTATTTCCTTCTCTAAAGATATGAGCCACTTTCACAGTCCAATTGTCATTTCGAAGCATATTCAAACACTCTTTGATCTCCTGTATATTCTCCCCTCCACTAGCTTCTCCCTTTTGCAGAATTTGAACACAAGCCAAATTATCTAATTGCACCTCCAATTTCTTTATTTGCAAATTTTGTGCAAGCTTTAACCCCTTGACAAGAGCTAGGATCTCAGCTCGTGTTGACGTGCACCTGCCAAAATTTGTTGTAAAGCCTGAGATAAAGCGGCCCTCATGGTTGCAAATTACGCCACCCCCTCCTGCTGGCCCAGGGCAACCCTTGGCTGCTCCATCACAATTAAGGACATATTCGTCCAAAGCAGGGGGGAGCCAAGAAATATTTGCAGTGGCTTGTTGTTTTGGTGAATGATTTGAGATCAGCCCACATTGATTGAGGCTGCATTTGGTCTCCTCCACCCTGATTCGAAGAAATGCACCAAGATCCACTGGTATTTCATCCTTTCTGTTGTAAACTTGACAATTTCGCCACCTCCATATCCACCAAACAGCAGTTCCAAAAATAGTAGGCCAATCTTCTGCCATATGGTTCTCTGCCCCAGCCAAGTTTTCTTCCAGCCAATCCTTAATGGAGCCTCGGAAGAATTGGTCAAAGTACCGAGGTTGGATTAATTTGTGCCATACCATTTTAGCAGTAGGGCAGTCACGAAGCGTGTGAAGGGTAGATTCTTCATGGTTACCACATATGTAACAAACTGAGGAGTTAGTGAGGTTGCGTTTGAACAGATTATGGTTGCAAAGTACACGATTATGACAAGCAAGCCATATAAACGCTCGAGCTCGTTGTTGCACAGGCGCCTTCCAGATTAAGTCCCAACATTTCTCGTCCAAGGAGTCAGTCTCCTGTCTCATTATTCTAAGTGCAGACTTAATTGAAAATCCTCCTTTTACTTCGCCTTTCCAGTACACCAGATCGCCTACATTAGGGTCAACTCTAAGCTCATGATTCTGTATTGACTTGAGTGTGTCTTGTGATAAAAAAAGGTGCAAACACGTTCCATCTCCAGCCATCATTCTCTTCCCACATCTCAGCTACTATCGCTTCCATTAATTCCGGGGGGATGGGATTTGTGACCAAATTACTTAGAGGACTGTCTCCTACCCATCTATGCTTCCAGAAGAGGGTATTGTGCTCATTTCCAACAGCTACTTGCATACCCTCTCCTAGTAATTTAGCGTTGGCCGTAATTCCACCCCAAACATTCGACATATCTCTCTTTGGCTCAAACATGTCAATGTCGCATCTCCCTTTACAGTACTTGGAACGCAGAACTCTTGACCATAACGAATTTGGTTCAGTCAGGACTCTCCAACCCAATTTTGTAAGGAACGCTGCGTTTACTGGGTAGCAGAGTAGATACCAATGCCTCCTTGATCCTTCGGCTTTTGGAGGGTATCCCATGCTAGGATATGAATTTTTCGCTTTTCTTCATTACCACCCCAAATGAATCTCCGTACTTTTTTTTTTATCTATGTTGTCACTGATTGTACGAGGAATCTTGGCAGTTTGCATTGAATAGAACGACATCGTAGATAAGGTTGACTTCGCCAAAGTGATACGCCCAGCCAAGGATAAGTATTTGGATTTCCACCCAGCTAGCCGTCTGTCTATCTTTTCACATAGGTGGCTGTAAGTATCCTTAGTCACCCTACTTGTAAGAGTAGGAATGCCTAAGTATAATCCAAGGTCTTTCGTAGCTTCCATACCCAGAGTAGTAGCAATGTCCTGCTGTAGCTCGTGATCGACATTGTTTGAAAAGAAGACTCGTGACTTCGGCAAGCTGATCTTTTGTCCAGATTAGGGGTGTACAAAAATTGGCCCGGACCTGAAACCGGACCTGAACCGACCTGAACCGGACCGGACCTGACCCGGACCTGTTGATTCAGGTCCGGTCCCGGTTCTTAAAAATCCAGGTTCCCGGTCCCGGTCCGGACCCGGTCCAAACCCGGGGTTTTCAGGTCCGGACCTGAAACCCGGGAAAATCGTAATTAAAAAAAAAAAAAAAAAAAACAAGAAAATATCTGATTCTCTCAGCCTCCCTCAATCTCTTTCATATTTTTAAGTTCTAACCCTAACTCCCTAAGCCCAAACTGATTCTCTCAGCCTCCCTCAATCTCAACTTCTCAACGCGGCTGTCCCAACTCGCTCCGGCCACCGCCCACTGCCGACACCTCCCTCATTCTCTCAGGCGATGCACACCGATAATATCTGGTAAGTATTTGCTTATAATTTTGGTATTTTTAATTCGAAATAATAAATTTAAGTGTGAGAATTTATATGTTTATTCTTGTTTCAAATTTTCAATTGCTTTTAATGATTGTTTGATGTTTGCATGTTGAATTTCTTATTTTTAGTTCATCTCTTTCGAATTTCTGTTTTTTTTTTTTTTTGGTTTTTTTGAGTTTAGGGTTCATAAGAATTAAGAAGTTTAGGGTTTAGGGTTCAAGTGCGAAATTTAGTTCGAAATTTTGTGTTTATTATGATTATTAAGATTAATTTAGTGCGAAAATTTGTGTTTATTCCTAAAGTATAAGTTATTCAAGGTAATATATGTCTCCACTTGAATTATGGGTTGGGGTGGTAGGGTGGGTTGGGGTGGGGTTATGGTGGGGTTACGGTGGTACGGTTCTGGTGTGTGGGGGTTAAGGGTTAAAAAATGCCTCCCTGAGAGCGTCACAAAGTTGCAGAAATTGCAGATATTGGATTTTCAACAATCTAGTGTTAAGAGTTTTGCAAGCTAAGTCATTTGAGGCACTTGTATACTTGAGGTAGATTGGTTGATATGCCACCGAGGTTTGGGGAATTAAAACCTCTCCAAATTTTAGATGTGTTTATAGTCAGAAATAATAACGGTATAGATGTGTTGGGTAACTTGAGTGATCTTGTTGGAAAGCTCATAATCAAATATGAAAAGCTTCCTTCCAATCCTGGTGCATCACGGACAGGTGATAAAGGTATATTGAATAACATGAATGTAACAGACTTGTCATTGGCATGGTCATCTTCGTGTTCAAAACCAGCCAACCTAGAAGAGTTTGATTACTTTCATCCACCTCAAAGGAGAAACATTTCCCCTACAACTTATGTTTGGAAAGGCTGTTTTTGATAGCCTTATTTCTATACATATTGAAGACTGTCGAGGATGCAAAGATCTGCCAGCTCTGAGTTCATTGCCTCATCTGAGAGCTATTCAACTCTGGGACCTAAATGTCTTGGAATACGTGGAGCCTGATGTCGATAATAAAAAATTTACAAGTTCTGGTTCATCTACACTCAGACACTATTTTCCTTCTTTGGAATACCTGTTGTTGGCTAATTTACCAAGATTGGAGGGATGGTCACGTTATATACAACAACAACTCCTAATCCCTTCTCATAATCTTACACTTTGTGTGAGCAATTGTCCAAAGATGTCATCGATGCCTCTGTTGCGAAGTCTTGTGTCATTAGAGGCACATGATATCCATGTGAAATTTCTAAGGCATCTCTTATCAACTACTGCAGGACCATCTCCTAGTGCCACGTTGAGGAAGCTTGAAATTGTCTCAATTTTCGATCTTAAGTCCACTTTTCCAATTAGAAATCTGAATGCTCTAGAGTCACGCGATCAAAGGAAAAACAACTCGTTGGAGAATTTATATATTTCTAGTACTTGAGAGTTGAGACTTAAGAGAATTTATGTAATTTTATGAGTTTTCGTGGACTTATTTGTATTTTCGGTGGACTCATTTGTATTTTTGGTGTTTGAGAATCGGGACTTTATAGACTTTATGTAGTTTTGTAATTGATAATTTTGGTTTGTATGTAATTATTAAATTATGCAACAGGTCTAAAAATCACAAAATAGGTCCATATGCAGGTCCAATAGGTTTTGTATTAAAAAAAAAAACGAAAAAGACACAAAACAGGTCCATTCAGGTCCAAACCCAGACCGGATCTGATTTTTCAGGTCTGGCCCGGAACCGGACCTGTTAATTCAGGTCCGGTCCCCGGTCCTCATAATTACGCAATTCAGGTCCCCGGTCCAAACAGGTCCGGTCCAGGTCCGGTCCGGTTTTGGACCGGTGTACACCCCTAGTCCAGATGCTTGGAAAAATCTTTCCAGGCATGCTTGAATTAACATTGTTTGATCCACAGATGCTTTTGCAAATAGAACAATATCATCCGCAAAAAATAGGTTTGAGAGTAAAGGGCCATCCCTGCTTGCCCGTATCGGTTTCCAGTAGCCATTGACGATGGCTGCCTCTATAGTTTGGTATAGGCGCTCCATACACATCATGAATATATACGGAGATAATGGGTCTCCTTGGCGAACTCCCCTGCTTGGTTTGAAACTACTCGAGGGCTCTCCATTCCAAAGTACCTGAAGAGTTGATGTGCTGATGCATTCCATTACTACCTCTATCATAGTTAAAGGGAGGTTCATTTGCACAAGTGTATCTCTTATAAATGACCATCGGAGCCTATCATAGGCCTTTTCAAAATTGATCTTGATCGCCATATATCCTTTTTTTCCTTGCTTTCGTCTCATGGTGTGCAAAACTTCTTGCATAATCACAATATTATCTGTGAATTGTCTACCCGGGACAAAACTTGATTGAGTGTTCGAGATTAAAGTAGGCAGGATTGGCTTGATTCGATTGACTATAACCTTCGTGGCAATCTTGTAAGCAACGTTACATAGCCCTATAGGTCGAAATTGGGAAGCAAGTTTTGGTTTTTCAATTTTCAGGATTAGAGCAATAAACGTGGCATTAAAGTTTTCAGGCATGCCTTTCCCTTCCAGGATCGGAATGATGGTATTGTACACTGATTCTGCTACCAAGTCCCAATTCTTTTGATAGAAGAGCGCCTGAAATCCATCCGATCCCGGAGCTTTGAGTGGGGCCATCTCTTTGATGACCATATCAATTTCAGCTCGAGTGTATTGCCGAGTGAGAAATCTCCATTGATCCAATGGGAGCTCCGGAAAAACGTCCTGAGGCACATCAAATCGAATAGGTTCCCCTTCTTCAGTAAAAAGCTGTGAAAAATAGTTTACTATATGCTCTTTAATTAGCTCTTTGTCTTGTATCCAATCCCCATTGTTTCCCTTTATGGCTACTATACGGTTCTTCCACCTTCGTATGATAGTAATAAGATGGAAAAAGGTCGTTTACGTAATTAAGTGGGATCTTATTAATTTCGTAGTGTGTACGTATCAAATATCTTTCTGATTTTCATAATTTTGTTACGCAGTATAACATTAAACATATTCGTATTTGGCAATAAAACTAACAAGGTTATGAAGATCAAATTTGATGTGGTCTTATGTGTAATACCCCGTATTTTTATATGTATTTTAAATTTAAATAAGTATTTCTTGAAGTATTTAAACAATATGAAATAGATTATATAGGGTTTCTTCAATACAAAAAGAATGATTTTAATTAAAAATATATTTTATTATTTAATAATCTTGAAAATATTGGATTTTATGATTTAAAATATTGGGGCACATTATTTTATATTAAATAATTTAAAAAGACAAGTTTTAAAGAAAGTCAAATCCTAATCCGATTAGGAAAGGGATTATTAAGGGAAATAAGTAGGAGGGCTAAGAGGGAGTATAAATACTCCTCATGTGCCTAGGGTGAAAATTCACCCAAAGGTACGTTCTCTTTCTCCCCTCTTATTTTATTTTTCCTTAATTTTCCCCTTCCCCTTTTATTTATTAATTTATTTATTTATTGTTTACACCACCACCACACACGCCGGCCACCACCACCAACCTTTTCCGGTGGCGGAAGCCACCAGGAAGCGTGGCAGCGGCGGCCAGGTGGTTGCATATTGTGTATTCTCCGTTCGTAATTTTCTTAATCTCGATGTAATCACGATTAAATTCTAACTCGTCCGATTTTTACAAAAAAAAATAGTGTTTTTCGTGTGTAAACAATATTATAAACAAAACTCACTACTTTAGTAGTGAGCACCACCTTTTCGTGGCCAAATTCAGCCTCTAAATATGGTTTTCGGACAGTTTTTAATTTTAACGAAAGATTTATGTTGCTTTTCTTATTTTAATTAAATCTATCCTAAATCCAATTGTTGTTTTTGGGTTTTGTGATGATTCTTAGGATGTTTAATAACAAGTATTTTAATTATAATTTTTAGATTTTGGTTTTTAATTAAAAAGCCCCAAGATTGGAAACCCTAGGTTTTTAAATTAATGTTTACAGATGGAATTTGATTATGGTTGGTTGAAATTATTAAAATTAATGTTTTTAAACCAAATTACAGAAATTTTATAAGTTTTAATAATGCTGGAATTTTTATATAAAAAGTCTAATTAAAGTTTCTTGAAAAGATCTTTAATTACCCATTTAATTGGGAACAAAGTAAGGGTTTTAAATAAAAATTCAGATTATTTTAGAGGGTTTTTTAGTGATTTAAAGAGAGTATATATTGCTGGAATTTTGTGTTAAAAGAGTATTAATACTTCTTTTATAATTGTGGTTTATAGGAGAATTCCAAGTGAGCAATTTCGTGTAATCGTGGCTATTTTAAGATCATATTCAAGGTACGTTCGCGTACTTGGTAAAGTTTAAGTGTATAGAAGCATGCTAGGTTGTGTTAAATTAATTCCAAGTAGTATCATGATAGGTGTTGGATGAAATTTGTTGATTTGATTGATATTGGTGAATAATTTGTGATGAATGAATTATATATGGTGAACTGGTGATTGGAATTAATTATATTGGCATGTTGATATTGAACCATACTTTTATTATTGGCATGTTAGAAGGCATGTTTGGCTAAACTGGATGTTTATCTTGGTTTGGATTATGGAAGAGGAATTTTATTATGGTTCATATAATTTTTATTGATGCTATAAGCATGAAGAAAGAGCTATTTAAGTGTCTTAGTACACATGGATAAATTATATTGCGGTGCCTATGTGCACTTAAGGTGTTTCTAACACCGAGGGATAGGATTTGCGGTGCCTTATGCACTTAAGGTGTTATTTAACACCAAGGTAGTTTAAAAAGGATTCCACACTAAATTTATATGGTCACCAGATATTCAAGAATTAAATTGGTTGTTTGATTGCTTGAGTGAATTGTCATGTTTGGTTGTGTTGTGTTTGAGAGTCATCACCAAGTCTAATAATTTGTAAATCACGTAAAGTGAAAGAGATTACACACCAAAACTCTTGGAACGTATATACCTTGAGTATGAACATATTGGGGGGGGGTGGGTGGGTGGGTTATGCGACTTTATATTTGACCATAACTCCTACTGGGGGTACAGGACGCTGTACTTTCCATTTTATTATTTATTATGCGCAGGATCCAGTCACTTCATGTGGCATTTGCCTACCCGGTTAGCTCCCGGTGTAGTTTACCTCAATTTATTTGAGGCAGGTAGTTGGTTGGAAACCCGTTCGATGTGTAATCAAAATTAAATAAATATTAATTAGTAGTTGAGTCAAGTGATGATTGTTGTGTGCTTGTAAACAGGTGCATCGAGGTAAGTTGTATGTTGATAGGATGAAAGCATGTTAGTGTGTGTTAATTACGCTTATGTACTCAGCTTTGCTGATTGTGTGTATTGCGCGTTTGTCTGGCCCTGTCCTTACCTTGGCCCTACGACGACCCTTTTCTAATGGCGAGTAGTGGGGACAAGTAGAGAGAAGCTTTTCAGGTGATGAAGCATAATCATGAAGGGGCATGAGTGAAGAGTGAATCATGCTTAGTTCTCGTTAGAATATGATTTGTTTATTGCTTTGATTTATTATTTAATTATGTTGATTGTGAGACTAACGCAAAGAGGTTTTCAAGTGTTTTGGTTTAAGGGCCTACAATGGTTCCAAGTTGTAGATTGACTTCGTTTGACTTTGTTTGACTTTTACTTTCGTTTGGTTTGACTTTTAAAGTTGACTTGATTTTAAATAGTTTTAAAGGTAGTCTTCCGCTGTGTGTCTTTGATAATTGCCTTAGCCGTTTTCACGATGGCGACAATGTCTTAGATTTTCCTTCTTCGTATTTTAAAAAGGGCAAAACAGGTATTTTAAAAGGGAAGGAATTTCTAGGGTGTTACATTATGAGTCTAGTTTGATTTTTCTGGATAGGTTTGATCTAGTTTAATTTTAACAGTAAGTCCTTAGAAAGTGTAAGTTACTTATGCAAATACTTTTCTTATATAGTCTTACTAACACATAGTTTACGGAATTAATTTAACGACCAACCATTTTTCTTGAAAACCATGAAATAGTAATGGGGCAAAAATTAAGGGACGAAAGGCATAATATATATTGGAAAGGTATAGTTTGGGAATCATATGTATTCGCTATTTTTCTTGTGTCATTTTGTCTTCCAAGTCCACAACTTTAAAATAACTTATGCAGATTGAGTTTACAAATTATTTATAGACTATATAGTTTTTTTTTTTTTTTTTTTTTTTTACTACTCCGAAAAAATATTATCACAAGGTTTGAACACTAAACCTCCTTAAATAAAGACAACACTTATTCCATCTTAGCTACAAATAAATCATGTTCTATACATTGGCATAAACCTCCTTAAATAAAGACAACACTTATACCATATTAGAATGTATCATAAAAGTGAAAAAAACATCTAAAATAATTTATTGTTGTCATGGTATTTTTATAAATTAGTGACAAATAAAATCAACAACAAAATTTGCCCTTCTCTTCTCTGCTGACTCAAGTTGAAATCTGCTCTACCTTGCCACAAGCTCTAAAGAACAGGGCTTAACTCCGTTTTTTTTTTTATGAGTGTTTAGAAAGAGACACATGTTATTTATGTCAAATGATCATTTTTCTTCTGAAAACTTCAGTACACTTTAAGATTAGAGACCAACCTCACGTTTTAAGGCCCCTAGATTAGGCTTAAACCAACGATAACTTACATCCATTTATGTAATTACCACCGCCAACATTAATCTGTGTGCTTGAATAAAAAGTTAGCTTCGTAATTAACAATTCAGCGGCACTCTCTCTCTTACTCTCCAGTTGAGACTTCTATTTTCTTTCTTTCTTTTTAATTTAAATTAAATTATTCCCAAATGCTTGACCAATTCGCTACAAATTTCGGACTCACCCAAGTTATCTTAGATTCTTTGTCTGATTTCTGCATCTGGGTATGTCTTCATTTTCCTTTTTACTCTCAATTTCGTTTGTAATTTGTGTTTCTTCTTCGTTAATTAATAATTTTGCCTCTTTGATTAATTCACCTTAAATTGTTGATTCATTTGGCTTACTGTTATTCTTTTTACATGAGATTGCATGTTTTAAATTTGTTGGTTGCTGTGATTATTACTTTTTATTTATTTATTTATGATTAATTTAATTTAACATTTTGGAGTTTGATGCCAGTTGATTCTTGTAATATAAATTCATAGTTAGTCACTAATTAACTTGATTAAAATGGCATATAATTTGTTGTTAAAAAGATCAGTTGATTCTGTGAACAGTTGTCAGATGTCTGTAAACTAGGTTTTCCCTTGATTCATAGTTTTGTGTTGTCATAAGGTGATACATTAAGTAGGAATAAAAAAATTATTTGTTTTTATAAAGTTGATCACTTTTTTGATAAATTCCAATTTTTGAGCATTTTGAAATTCATTTAAGCTGGTTCTGTACATTATATAATCATTGAAATACAAGCTTTTGAGCAAGTGTTAGGGATCGGATGAAGGCTGGAACCTTGCTGAACTTGAATTTAAACACGGTAAAAACTCGACTAGGCTCAACCTGGGTTTACACCCTTAATTACATTGAAAATTAGAACAATTGGTTAAAGGCTGTTTTATGTCAAATTGCTGTAAATGTATTCGGGTGGATGTCAAAAACTTGTGGATCATATGTTAATTGTTTAAAGCATTTAAAATGCTTAAGGAACAACTTTCATCTAATTGTCAGATAAAATCTTGATATTGAGTAAAGATAAATGAAGGAATGCTCTAAATTTTACTGCTGATTAGAGCAGTAAAGAGAGACAAAGTGTTGCAAATGCTATTCTTCTATGATTCTATCAGATGTTCTCACTACGTTTAACTCTGTATCTTGTAGAATGCTAAGTCATTCAGTCATTCACATAGCTGAATCAAGTAATGGATTTAATTCCTATTCCATGATGGTCATTGTGTCTTGTATAATTTCAGCACCATTTTAGCAGTGACTTCAACGTACTTAGTTAAGAATTAGAAACTTATAGATTTAAGTAGAAATTTAGGGGATTTAAAGATCAATAACTTCTCTGGGAGTGTAAGGTAAGTGATTATCTTGCCCTCCCCTGATACTCTGACACACTCTAATTTTTCGTTGCCAAACTTGTGTTTGATACACATCTGACACCTTAAACAGATGATAACACTTAAGTGTGATCCCTGAATTACATTAGAAAAACACATAAAGCTTCCTGTATCCATGTTGGATACCTCTGACAAGTCTGATACTTGCAAAGAGTCTGAGAACTCTGAGAAGCATCAAGTCTCCAATAGTTAGAAGAAGCGCGCACTTTCATGGATTATGTTGAACTACATTGGATCACTTGGAAAGATGGAAATCATGTCCAAGGCATTATATATTGCATCTACTCAGGCCACCAGCACTCATTGTTTGTGGTTGTTTAATCTACCACTGCACTTATTTGTTCCAAGACTAGCTGATCAAATATTGTTGTTTTTTCTCCTTCTGTTAAGTTTGCCAAAATTTCTCCTTGATTCCCCACTAGAGGCCTATTCTGACCTATATCGTTGTTTACTGTTGCAGAAAATTTTCAGATTATTGATTTTAATGGCTGACTGTAGGAGTTTATAAATCTTGCCTGGAGGTTTCAGCTGCAGTCATCTTCAAAAGTTAAAATTTTCTTTCAAACCTTGAAGTCCTATAGTGTGGCAAGTGTACTATAATTGGATCTTGAAGTTTTCTTTGCTATAGTGTGCAATAGTTGGACCTTGAAGTTTTGTTGCTGCAGTGTGCTAAAGTTGTACCTTTGCCACTTGTTTGGACTGCAGAGATGACAATCTTGTCAAAGTTACGTTGTATAACTGTTGATGTTACCGGTACTCTCTTAGCTTACAAAGGGGAGCTTGGAGATTACTATTGTATGGCTGCCAAAGCTGTAGGATTACCATGTCCTGACTACAAACGCATGCATGAAGGCTTCAAACTTGCATATACTGATATGGCCAAGAACTATCCTTGCTTTGGCCATGCTGCAAAGATGCCCAATATTGTTTGGTGGAAGACATGTGTCCGAGACTCCTTCATAAGGGTAAATGTTTTTGCTTTGGCTATTGATCCCATAAATTGTTTGATTGTTTGCATTTGAAAAAAACGGAAATGCTCATTAGGGTCATCTTTGGGTGTTTCCTCAGTAGATTTCATAGAATCTTTTGCTGCCCCCTTATGTATAGTGTTTTCTTGGTGATAGGCTGGATATGACTATGATGAAGAGACATTTGAGAAGATATTCAGACGCATATATGCATCATTTGGCTCATCTGCCCCTTATGTTCTTTTCCCTGATTCCATTCCTTTCCTAAGATGGGTCCGTGCACAAGGTATGCCGGTTGGGCTAGTGAGCAATGCAGAATACCGTTATCAAGATGTAATTCTTCCTGCCTTGGGTATAAATCAGGTAAAGATTGTGTCTTAGCTTTTAGTCTATCCTCTGTATCGTGAGTGCAATGACCTTGAAAACACTTTTAAATTCTGAAATTCAGGGTTCTGAATGGGATTTTGGAGTATTCTCTGGTATTGAAGGTGTAGAGAAGCCAAATCCAAGGATTTATGAGATAGCATTAGAGAGAGCAGGAAATGTTGCTCCTGAAGAAACTCTACATATTGGAGATAGCATGCGTAAGGATTTTCTTCCAGCAAAGAGCTTGGGCATGCACGCATTATTACTAGATAGATTTAAGACTTCAGATGCCGAGAAATGGAGAAAATCCGGAGCACCTGTCTATCCGGATTTGGCATCTGTGCAAGATCTTCTAAATTCTGGTAACATTGACTTGCTGAAAGAACTTTGAATTATTAAACTTAATGAAGTTTAAGTTGGTGTTACCATATTAAAGAATTCTAACATTAACTTGCTTTTCTAGATCTTCTTTAGGCCTGCCTTCTCCGTCTGTTGTAGAATCTACACATTCCTTAGTCATGTTCATTGTATAAGAAGCATCTCTTTTTCAAGAATTCTGCTTCTCTTGTTCATTAGTTCTATATATTGAGTGGTTGTTGATGAAGCTCTTCCTTCTCTTAGTTCTGTTGTTTTTTTTTTTTTTTTCCTTCTTTTTTTTGTAAACAACTTTTTTAGGTGAAATTTTCACAATGTTTCATTGCTCTGGGCAGTACAGCTCGTGGCGACTGTGCCATACCAGCCATCCTGTGGGCTAAGCCTGCGCACTATAAGCATTTCCTAGTATATTAATTGTAGACTGATCATGCCAAAGTGCCAAACCATTGGCCCTGTGGCCTGTGCTGTGCCAGTCTTTGCAAAATGCGGCCTTGGCTTAGCCTGCGTGCCTCATGCTGGCCTCATGGCCCACTGCCATCTCATGTCTTATTCTAAGTTGCATGTTATCTTTTAATTAACGCTAACATGTTTCTTAATATTTTAGTAGTTTAAAGTTGGTTAACGAAGCATTTTATTTATTTATCGTTCGATTAGACGGTCAAAATTGTCTCTTGTCCTATTCGTTGAGCTATGTAACATAAACTGAAAGTCTAAAATAACCCCCATTGAGTATGACCAGCTGAATCAATCATAATCTTCAGATAAGCAACACTTCCAGTTTTCACCTTTTTTTTTTTTCTTTTTTCTTTTTTCTTTTTTGTAGCTTTGAAGGTATCTTTCTTAGTTTGGATCATAAATCATTGATTATGGAAATGGTCTGGCATTATCCATATTTATATTCTGATAATATACACTTATAAACTATAATTAGTCAAATCACCCTTATAATTCTCATAAATCAACGGTTTGAAGTGTTTTAGCTTAATGTTCTGTATCTGTATTATTATCTATAAATTTAGGCACTTAATTATATGAAATAAAGCATATTTATTTTAGCATATAGTATTATATTTATCATGTACAGATGTGCTCAAGTTGACAATAAAAGAGTAGACGGTTGTGGGGCCTCAATAAGTCGTGGTACCCACAAACTCTCACACCATATAGGGTCAACCATCAACTGCCATTCCCTCCCAAAATTAACGGCCATCTAAAATTTAAATAGAAGAAAAAAAATAAATTAGAAGAAAATATAATTTTCCAGATTTTTCAATCAAAATTTCAGGCATCTCTAATTTCAGACCCTTATTTTCTCCATTGTTTTCGCTTCTCTTTCCCACCATATCCTCATCTTTCTTTCTCTCTCCTCTCTTGTCTTTCTGTTTTGCTTATGACAAAATTGTAAGGCCATTTGTTTTTTCTGATCTCCCCCGAAAACAAATAAATAAAAATAAAAATAAAAACTCGAGGGGGGAAAGAATGGAGAAGAATTCTTTTGCATCCAAGTCTAGTAGCTTTAATGATCGGAGTGGTTCTTCAAAGAAAGAAAAATCTACACGTCTTAGCAAATCCTCTAGTTTTAGTGTTCATGTAGATCGTCGCCTTCCTCGTCCTCCTCAAAGAACCCGTTCTTCCAATGACGCTGTGTTGATCCAGGCGGCTTCTGACGTGAAGGAGATAGAAAATGGTGGTGAGGTAGAGGAAGTTCATCATCAACCTACTTTGGAAGAACTCAATGAGGAAATCGATGGCATCATCGAGAAGCTCTCCTCAATGGAGGACAACTCGAATCTCCCTGGGATTTCTTGGACAGTTGAGACCTTTGCCAAGATGGTTCAGGTGGAGATTGAAAGGTATGATTCATCAGAGTCTACGTTGAAGTTCGGGCAGGATGTTGATCAAAACAACGTATTGATCAATTCGGTAAGTAGGTTGTCGAAATTGTCCAATCTGTTAAGTAAATTCTCATCTGATGAGAATGTAAAAAAATTAAGCTCGTCCCTTAGCCTCACTACACTCGTTGTCCAAAGAGCAATGACTTTCATGGAGGAGGAGCTTCGAATCATTCTAGAAGATTCCACAAACCCTTCTAGACGCTCTTCCGCCAAGCCAGAAGCTACGGATTCTAATGAGGAAGGATCTGAGGAGGACAAGTATCCAATGATTGGCGAGGAAAGTATATCTAACATGAGGAAGATTGGTTCGTTGATGATCTCTGCAGGGTATGAAACCGAATGTTGCCAAGTATATAGTGTTCTTCGAAGAAATGCCTTCAAGGAAGCTATGCAACGAGAAGGGTTTGAAAAACTAAGCATCGATGAAGTGCAAAAGATGCAATGGGAGTCTCTTGAGGGGCACATTGGCAATTGGATCAAAATTGTCAAGTATGTGGCAAATGTCCTCTTACCCGGTGAGAAGAAACTCTGCGATTCTGTCTTCTCGAATGAGCACCCATCGATCAGTGATGCCATGTTCTCTAACCTTGCTCGGTCAGCGGTCATCCTCTTCCTTAACTTTGCTGAGGCAATTTCCTTGACAAAGCGTTCGGCTGAGAGGTTGTTCAAGGTGATTGACATTTATGATACTTTAACTGACCTTATTACCGCCCTTGATAAAATGTGCTCTAAGGAATGCGCCAATGAGCTGAGGTCTGAGTTATCTTCTGTGAGACGGCGTTTAGGGGAAGCTGCTGTTTGCATCTTCTGTGATCTCGAGAACTCCATCAAAAACGATGTTGCAAGGAACCTAGTTCCTGGAGGGGCTGTCCACCCACTGACTCGATACACAATGAACTACTTGTGGTATGCTTGTGATTTCAAAGACAGCCTCGAGCAAGTCTTTTCTCTTCACCACATCACTGGACTGAATTTGGAAGCCCTAGAGCCGAGAAGAGAGCATCAGGATGAGGAGGACAACCACAACAACAAGAACCAAGGCCCGAAACAAACACCATTTGCTGCCGAGCTAATGACAATCATGAGCCTTTTAGATGCAAACTTAGAGGCAAAGTCTAAGCTATACAAAGATCCTTCATTAAGATACATCTTCTTGATGAACAATGGGAGATACATTCTGCAAAAGATCAAGGAATCAGCCGAAATCCACGATTTGGTTGGGAATAATTTTTGTAGGAAAAGATCATCTGAGTTAAGAGGATATCATAAGAGTTATCAAAGAGAGACATGGAGTAGAGTACTACAGTGCTTAAATCAAGAAGGATTGCAGGTTAATAATAAGGTTCAAAAGCCGGTACTAAAGGAGAGGTTCAAGGCTTTTAACCAAATGTTTGATGAAATTCACAAGACACAAAGTGCCTGGGTGGTGAGTGATGAACAACTTCAATCGGAGCTTCGAGTTTCCATTTCAGCTGTTATGATTCCGGCTTATAGGTCGTTCTTAGCAAGGTTCGGACAACATTTTACCCACGGAAGGCAGCGCGAGAAGTATATCAAGTATCAACCCGAAGATATCGAGAGTACTATCGAAGAGTTGTTTGATGGGAACCAAAACTTGTCCATGGCTAGAAGGAAAAACTAGCCCCTCATCTTGCAAAGGAGGGAGATTAAGGAGATAAATGGTTTGTTTTCTTCTATTATTGTTTTTCAAACGAAGTTTTTTTGTCATTACTAAGTTTGTAAACATTCATTTTGGTGTACTATGAAATGCAATTTTGCTCAAGACAGGCTTCATAGCTTTTTGAGTATCCTACTATTTGTATAGAGATTTCTTGTTTCATATAATATACGATGAAAAAATTATGCAACTTTAACAATGTCTATCTTATAGCATTATGATTGCGATCTTGGTAATAATTTGGTTTGAAATCCGAATGTCACAACTCACAATATAGTACTTTGAAGTAACTTTTTATGTCTATCATTGATTAACTGATTATATTAGTGTGAGATAATCTAATCTAAAATTCTCTCATTGTGCAATAAAACTGCAATTTGATAAGAAAGATACTATGTCATTGGCATACAGTGAGTAAGTTCAAAGCTTGCTAGATTTAGTGCTAAACATGGAATACTGTGAGTTATGGTTTACTATTCTTTTTAATTTCGTTAGTTTTAATTTGTACTCTCTTAATCTCCAATACTTGTATTATGCTTTATTTCATTACTTTACTCTTAATTTCGTTGTCGACTGCACTCAACCAATTAGTAAAAATTAGGTAAAATACACTTTTTTTTTTTTTTTTTTTTTTTTTTTTTTTTTTTGGTTGGGTAAGGAGAACAACCCACTCTTTGGGGAATGAGGGAGAAGAGTAAGGGAATTCCCAGTTTTCCACCCACAAGAACCACAAGTCCGCAACTGATAGGAATCGAACTCATACCTTATGGTGTAAAATACATTTAGATATACTACCTTAAAGTTGCAAAAAAATATGAGGTAGCACAATCTATTAATAATACTATACTAAATTGGTTCTTTTTTTTTTTCCCTCCAAAAGAGCTTAAGATCCCGCCCATTTCCTTCTTGTGTGTGTGTGTTTTTTTTTTTTAATTTTACCTATCTATTTTGTTTGGTTAAGAGATATTTATGGTTATTATTTTTTTTAACCTTTATCACTAACCTATTTTTTTGGTTAAGAGATATTTATTATTGTTTGGCTAAATTCAATATGTTTTGAAATTTTCTGTACCTTTATCACCTATTTATTTTTTTTGGTTATGAGATTTTTTTTTTTTTTTTGATAACCTTTATCACCTACCTATTTTTTTTGGTTAAGAGATATTTATTTTTGTTTGGCTTCTAGTATAATGCTATAAATATTACTAATGTATTACAACAGCCAAAACTACAATATTCCACCGATAGTATATTCAAGTAGGTTTTTTTTTTTATTTTTTTTTATTTCATATATTCTAATAACAACTAATCTAAATAGGTAATACTAACTTTTTTTTTACATAGATGTACAAGCTAACATTTTGAGCATCGCACGGGTACTACCTAGTAGAGTTCAAAGAGTAGTGGTTTTATACTTCACCATAAAAATGATTTATTGGGCCTATGTTTTATGGCCAATTTGCTCTAGTATGTAGGTTGTAGGCTCGTAGCCAATTTTGTCAAAAAAGTATACGAATATAATTGAAAGAAAAAGTTCTAAGCCCATAAGTAATAAGTATGGTACCATACTTGGCCAAAAAGTCAGCACTAATACGTGGCCTGTTGCTCACTAATCCTTGTGAATATTGTGATGGCTAGTTGTGCTCACCAATACTTCATTGATTCTCCAGTATCTAAATAAGTGCATTATTTAAGTGGTACATTACAACTCAAACTATTACGAAGTATTATTTTTAATCTTGCATTATTTTAACTTTAAAAAATTATTGTGACCGATCTAACAAAATTTTACATGATTATATTTGGTTTTTTAAATATTATTCCATAATAGAAAATTAAGTCAAAGTTAGTAGGTAAATAGTTCAAAGGTCAAAGTGAAGCACTTATTCAACTAAATTCAAGTATGAATGAGTTTTATTTTTCAATTTCACCATATTTTTAAAGCTATTTCTAGCATGTAAACATGTACTTCTAACCGTTAATTTTTTAAGTTTCACAACACAATTAAAATACAAAAAGTATACAAGTATTATTTTGAAAAATAAATACCATAACAAATTATACATATTAATGTTGTGTATTATATCAAATAATTTCTTCATTTTTATATACTTGCAACAAAGTCTGTAGGCATACACTTTTAAGGAGTGATTAATGAAGTTAAAAAAATGATTTTATCAAAAAAAAAAAAAAATTAATACTAGGGGTAGGAAGAGCTAGTTACCATGTCAAAAAATAATTTTGCATGTTTATATTGTATAATCTTGACCTAAAATTGTGTGATCAAGACTATATTGAAAGTAAATGTTCAAATGTAAGATGAATAAAATACTCATATTCAAGTATTAAAAATTCATGAAAAAGTACTTGTATGTTACAAACATAATGTTTGTAAAGGGAAAGATTACAAACATAACTAGATTAACTACACAATATAATATGCATAATACTAGAAATAATTACTACCTTCTTTTCAATTCATTTGCAACATTTTCATAAATGAATATTATAAGTTATTTGTAATAAATAATTTATTTCCTTTTTTTAATTATTATTTCTTTCTATCTCTCTTCATCACATGCAAATAAATAAAACGGACTCTGTTCTGCTGACTCAATCTATTCTTCTCTACTCTACTATGTTAAAATCTGCTCTGCTCAGCTATTTGAGAAGCTCAAAAGAAAGGCCGTACTATATAAAGAGTCGACTAGTGAGCACTGAGCAGCATGACGTCCATAATATGGATTGAACAGTAAAAGGCTGTGCATGCGCCCTGGATTTGCTGAGCAAAGCAACTCCAAAAAAAGTGAATAAAAAAAAAAAAAAAAAAGGAAAGTATTTTTGCACAAAAAAAGGTGATTGGTCTGTTATTGTTAATACAGATGCTACTGCTGTATAATGTCTCACTTTAGTGGTATTGATCTATCTAAAGTACGGATTGTAATTGTTATAGTATTGGGATTTGGGAAGATCCAATGGGCCGGATTATCTGGTTCCGTACCCGAGAGGCCCATAACCCGGTAAAATTGACTGCCATTTTTTGCACGCCACATTTCAGATTTTGTTTTCACTTTTTTATCCTTTGGTTTTTTCTCAATTGTCATCACTTTAGGTATACAAATACAACACCCCCTAATTTATTTTGGTTTCATAGGTTAACCCCTTATCTTATTAGTACTAGCTTCTAAAACACTTGAATCCATGAGTATGCTTCCTCCATTAGTGTTCTTGTTCATACAAGAACCAGTAATACACAATAGAGGTTGTGGATTTTTTGCCAGCAATCCAGCGTAGCAATTTGTTTATACTCCGTATTAGAATTACATTTTTTAATGCAAAAATTATTTATAATAATGGATAGAATGCAAAGTACTCAAATGTATGTGATACTAATAGTAGTTCAATTACTTTGTGATGATTTCGTAAGTCCTTTGACTTTTGTTTTGTAGATTTTATGGTCCATGTATATGTATGTGCGACTATGCAAATATTTGTTGTCATGAATATTAAAAATAACCCTCTAATCATAGGTTATCAATTCCAAAATTTATTGCTTAATTGAGATCTTGGACCAAAAGAAAACTTTATTGCTTTTATTGATAATGCTGATGGTGTGATTGGTGTCAATGTAAATCAATATATAATTTCCATTTTTCAAATTAAATTCACATTTTCGTCACTAAAAAAATACTTCGTTTGTTTTTTTTTTTTTAACAAAATTAGAAAAAATTATAAACAACACAGACAATTAAATAAGTAGCTAGGAAGATACGGAGTAGCAAAGAACATACTATACAAATATGAAGGTTAGTTTTTTTGTCCCCCTTGCTAAGGTTTTTTTTTTTTTTTTTTTTTTACAAAAACTAAGGAAATGTTGTTACAATTACAAACTTTGAAACTTGCAATTATACTTGTAGTAAGTGTAAATAATCATGTCATAATGAGCATAAAAGAATCTCTCAATAAGACTTAAAAGTAGTCAACTTGGTACCGCAAAAATAGAAAAAAGAGCAAGATGTTACAAACTGTATATCCGACAGATATGCCAAAAAGAAACCATTGACCAGTAAATATTTCATTAAAATCACCACATAAATTAAATAATTCGGATAAAAATTAAGAAAGCTGATGTTTGCCTCAGTAAATGCGACAACAAGGACATAAACAGCCGTTTTTAAAAAAGTTGAGATGATCTTACATAAACGAATACTCAGTTAAAGTTGTTTCTCACAAACCCTTCTTCCATATCTTAGCTTACATACCCTTGCCAAACCATGCTCCTGTTAAAGGTAGCCTAGTGCAATAGTTCGTACTACTGCATAACTATGTAGTAAACTTGTACTTGTATTTAGTAATAACAAAATTAAATTAAGCCTAATTATTACTTTAGTTTATCAGTATTAGAGTTGGGCATGGACCGGGCCGGCCTGCGGGCGATACAGGCACAACACGGTAGCGGCCCGACATGAGGAACGAGAGGTGGGCCGTGAACAAAAAAATAAAAATTCGGCACAAATCTGGCACGAGCTTTTGGCCCGCCAGCACAACTCATAGTAATAAAAATACTTAAAAAAACTATAAATAATAAAAATAAAAACAATAAAAATAAATATTATAAAAATAAAAATAATAAAAAGAACCATAATAATATAAAGAACTATAAATAATAAAAATAATATAAATATTAAAATTAATTAATTAATAATTAAAATATTTAATTAATAATTAAAATAATAGGTTGGCCCGCGACCCGGCCTGCCAAGCACGTGGATCGTGCCGTGCCGTGGGCTGGAGTGTGCCATTTGGTGGCCCGGCTCAGCACGGCACGACATGACCCACCTCCTGGCACGGCAAGACACGACCCGCGACGGCCCGACATGGCACGATGTCCAGCTCTAATCAGTATGCATAAGCATTTGACTAATAGCTAGGCTCTTTCCAAATTTATAGGTCAATTGGTTTATCCGAGCCAAGAAATCAAAACGAAGTACTCGTACGAGTCGTGAAAGTTAATTAATAAAACATATCATAGTCGTGTTTTAACAAAATCAAGTATTCCGTACTTTGTATTGGTACTTTTATATATATTGAGTAGTTAGTTATATATAAATGGAGTTTTTCACACATGCTTATGAAAATTTTCTTTCTTAAGCTAAGGTTACATGCGTGCGGTGTACCCAATACCTCATGAGTACGAAAAGGGTTGAACTGGACACCACCACTTCTTATTTATGCATGTTTTTGTAAAGATAGGAACCTTATTGATACAAATTCAAACTAATACTCCCTAGCTAGCAAGAGTAACAACACATAATAACATTAATATTACCATTATATATTGCTAATGATTAGATAAAATATGCTATAAACTTCGAGTACGTATTATATAAATAATAAAATAAAAAATTATTAGGAAACCCTCCTCACAAAGGATATTCCTAATATGGAGTATGTATTATATTGGAAATGTATAATAAGTTATATGTACTTTATATGTATTATTATACACCGTAGTATATTAATCTTTCAGAAGTTTGAAATATAATCCGTAGATGTGACTAAAGCTTGAAAGTCATAAGGATTCTAATTGGGTATAGAAGACAAAGGCTAAAGGCATTAGCCGCCTTCTATATATGATAAAAACTGACATAACCTACTTTATGTTTAAAGCCATTATTGTCTTTTAAAGTTTTAACTATATTTGTTTAATTATGTTACGTTAATTTGGATAAACCACTCTTTTACTTACACATGTTTTCTTTCCCCTAAAACCTACAAAGATACCTACCTATCATAAGTCACAACTAATTTAAGACACTATTTCTTTTTGGCATGCGTTGCGACAACTAACAGACAACCCCTTTAATTACCAACGTATCCTTCGTTATCTTCTTCTTAGCTTCAAGAAGAATTTCAATACCCCATAATTAACATTACTCGTGTGCATCGTGCTCTTCTTGCAATAATAGTTGCATTATTGCCTTAATTTTGTTTGAAGTGCAAAGACGACTAATTAAATTATTACTCATACGGTCATACCTAAGCAAAAAGTCGAAAGCAACGGCATCATTCACCACACTAACCCCCTAAACTCACACTTTAGTCGAGTACTCGAGTGGGCTAAGGTGAGCCATAGCGTGAGCTACACAATGAGCCAATGATATTTGGTTGAAGAAATTGCTTGCATGAATGTGAATGAGAAAAATAACCAAATACGAGTATAAACTTGATCATATACGAAGTACATTTGAATAATGTTCTCAGAGTACAACATTAACAAAAGAGTTTTGTCAATCACATAATAACATGTTAAACAACCATTTTTATTTTTTTTTATACTTTTACTATTGCTTTATTTATGTAGATGGTTAAAATCTTACTCAAAATATGGAATCAAATCTCGTCTATAAATCGTTTGAAAGTTTTATTATGAAAAATTAAACAAGTGGACAATTATTTCTTGTTCTTTGTAAGGATTGTCTATTTGATCTACAAAATTGGATTGTTTTTAAATTTACTAATCATTACTTTACGTTATACAGAATATAAATGATAATATGATCATATAATGAAATATGGACAAAAAAAATACACTATTATAATCAATTACTTACGTCATCAAACTCATAGAGTCATAGTCACATACTCACATTTACCTTGTATATATGTTCCCACGCCTATATAAAGGGCATGCATGCTCTCATTCCAAAAACACAACCTCATCACATACACTTCATCTCTCAGTATACATTCTCTCTTTCTCACCTTTGAAACATATATTAACCTAAAGTTCTTACTTCAAGCATTATTTGCGCAAAATAAAATTCTAATTAATCATTTATTTCATTCCAAATTCCTCTACTTTTCACTACTACTTAAACCCTCAAAAAAAGAAAAGAAAAAAAAAATGCAATACCATTTACAAGAACCATCCTCATCATCATCGTCGTCATCATCATGGGGATACTCATACTACATAGGAGTACCATCCATGAACATGATGAACATTCGAGAAGCGGCCGACCCGCTCGAGAAAGTGGCAAGGCTAGCATCCGAGAGTGCGGTGGTAATATTCAGCGTGAGCACCTGTTGTATGTGTCATGCGGTCAAGCGGCTGTTTTGTGGTATGGGTGTTAATCCAACGGTGTATGAACTCGACGAAGATCCAAGAGGAAGAGAAATGGAGAAGGCTTTGATTAGACTGCTTGGTAATAATTATTCACCACCTGTTCCTGTTGTTTTTATTGGTGGTAAACTTGTTGGTGCTATGGATAGAGTCATGGCTTCCCATATTAATGGCTCTCTTGTTCCTCTCCTCAAGGAAGCCGGTGCTCTTTGGCTTTGAACTATATTCGATCGATCAATAATAAACTAATTAAGCTAGGTTGCGGGTTGGTTTCTTATAAGCCAAACTCGAATAGTTAACGAGCAAGTTCTTTATATTAGTTGAGAACTCGTAGTTTAAGGATAGACTAATTAAACTCGTTATCATCTCTATTCATAAATTTCAGTATGAATAATTGTAGTAATATGACTTGTATCTAATGACTAGACTAGCTGGTGGTAGGAAATTGCATTGCACACAATTTTGGAAGCATGACACCGGTGTGTTGTGTGTGTGTTAATATAATTATGATTATAATTGTAATTGAACGACTCAAGATGATTTATGTAATTTGTAGTAAACTGTGAAATGAAAGATTTGATGCAAATTTACATTTGTCAAAATGAATAACTGTAATATACTTCGTATTTCAAAATGCTCATAAAAAGTCTATGGGCAAAAAGTCTTGAACATGCAAGTATGCAACCTTTAAAATATAAAATTAAAAGTAAGAGCTTATCCAATATACAAGTAATAATGACATAATTAATGGTAATAACAGGAGGCTATTGAAGGTTTCTTTTCTCACCTCTCAAATCCTTGCAAAATTCTAATTAATTTATTACAGTAGTTTTTTATTTTCATTTGAAAAAAGATTCTGAGCAGTAATAATTAAGTATAATAATCTAAAGCATCACGCGGAACGTCGCTAGTTTTTAATCCAAGGCACCAAAACTCTATCCTAAGAGGCTAAGAGTACACACTACACACAATTAGGTGTGTTGTTTGGCTAGTTACTTCTTAGAACAAATGTAATGAGAGTACATCCTGTGAGAGTCAATCCTATTCCTTTACTACAACACATGAATAAATCCGAGTAACAAATGATTTTGGATATGATGATGATGATGATTTATCGGATCCATTTATGTTCCGACTCCCAAATCTTTGATCGGCGAAACCATTAAACATCAGTTAAGATGAGTTGGTTTCCCCAAAAAAAAAAAAAAAAAAAAAAAAAAAAAAAAAAAAAGCACTAGATGGAAAAAGAACAAATGACTCTAAGCTTTAGATACATGGTTTAGAAAAAGATGTAATTGAATTTTTGGGTTGAACATACTTTTTTTTTTTACACAAGGGTTTTACATTCTTGTAGAAAGAAAAATATTATTCTTGTACAAGAAAGGTATGTAAATCATGATTGTTTAGCAAATAAAATTATACTTCCTCAATCCCCTAATATCGCAACATGTTGAGTTTTACACTTTTCAACCCGTCACATAAACCATTAATATCATTCTAAAAAGTTAAAACATCTAATATCATATCACATCACATCACTAATAAATGAAGCCGATATCGCATCCAGGCCACGAGACAACGACACTTGACATTCCAATTTTTCGCCAAGTGTCACGCCACGTAGACGACAAATAAATATTATTGTGACACATATGATGCTAAGTAAGGGATAGATTTTAAAGATAAAAATGTGGTATAGAGTTTTATTATTGATATACTTTTAATATTTCATATATACAAAATTAATAATAACTTTTAATAAATATCTTATAATTCGGTACTATTTCCATCATAAAATCCGTTTTAAAAAGTTCTTTAAAATAAAATCCATTTATAATATATTTAATTTATTTACAAAAATAAAAGAGAATCAGTAAAAATAAGTTTTAATCATGAAAATTAATTTTTATTTTGGTAAAAATACTTTTGGTTCAATAAAAATAATTTCAATTCAATAAAATATATTTCAGTTCAGTATGTATCTCTAAATATCCTGATTATAGGATCGTATAGAACATTCAATCCAAAAGAGTTTATCCTAAACTTTTATCAACCATCTGGGCATTGCCCGGGTACAAAACTAGTATATATATAAAGGGGAGTTTTTTCCCAAGATTTTAGAGAGCCACATAGGATTTTAATTTTTTAAAAATTATTAGAGCGCCATGTAAGATTAGTATTTTTAGAGCGTTACGTATAGGATTATGCCACGTAGGATTATTATTTTAAAGCGCCATGTAGGATTAAAATCAAAAGTTTGACTCACTTTGCATTTGCACGGTCTCCAATGAACATCTTTGATTGTTAATTCGGCTATGTATAAGTAAAAATTTTAAAAAATTGATATTTGAAAAATTTATCATAAGGGGAATCTAATAAAATCAAACTTGTTAATTTATTTTGATTATATAAATCATAAAATCTGGTCAAAGTTATTTTATTTTGACAACATGAATAGTAAGTAAGTCAAACTTTCAGATTCGGAGGTAGTATTAAACTTAAAAAATGAAATTCATGTTAAAAATTGGATTAGTTAAAAAAAATAATGAAATATGAGAAGTGATTATAATAAAATATTTTTTTAAAAAAAAATGCTAATAATAAAAATATAAAATCACATTCAATTATAAAAAAATATCAGTTTTGAATTATCTACAAAAAATAAGAAAAAATCATTAAAACTAAAAATATATCCTTTCTCTTTTTCGAGCAAAAAAAAAAATGTTCATCATTAAATGTTCCACGCAAATAAACGTAAAACTTTTGCAGGCAACGAAGCATATATTTTAGAATTTGAACACCATGAGATTCTTGAATGTGATGAACAATAATCAGAAGTGTTAATTTTGCAATTCAAGGGGGCAGGTTTAATTACACAATTTATCAACTGGCACGATCAACGACTGATTTACAAAGGATGATGGAAGCCTGGAAAATTTAAAATTTGTTTGTATATGTGTGAACCTTAATTGTATAAGATTAAAAAAAATTGTATTATTATGTGTTAATATTTTGTTATTTCGATTAAATATTAAAGGTTAAGTTTAACTATGAATAAAACCCGTGCATCGCACGGGTTTAAATCTAGTATAAATCAAGATAAAGTTCAAAAACCCACACAATATTTACGTATAAATCACAATCTAGTAAAAAAAGAGTGGGTGAATAGAGTAAAAGTCCAATTGTCGTAATATTAAGGGAATGTATGAAGTGTTTAATTGATTTACTAGAGTTTTTGTTGCATGAGGTTGCAAATCAAAAATAAATTTTTACTTTTAAATAATGATAAATACATATTAAAACTCACAATCACTAGTCATAATCTTCAATGCTAATTTTTGACCGCATATATTTTCAGTATACATGAATAAAAACTCAATAAAAATTAATATTTATAAAATATATTTTAAGTTGAATCTAACAAGATCCTACATTCTCACTTGATATAGTTTTAATTTTTGTAATAGTGAATTTTTATAGTAAAAAAATTAGAAAGTTGACTGTAAAAAGTCAAAGTGTAAAAAACAAAAAGTGACGGATGGAATGAACTATGAACAAGTGAGTAGATCTTTAATGGAAGAGAACAAAGCTTACTCAACCCACCTCCCCTCCTTGGTTCCATGCCTCAATCACCATCTCCTCCCCTAAAATTCCTTTTTCCTATGCTCTCTAATGTTTCTATCCACTAAATAAAAATAAATGAAGTTTATAAAAACTAATTTTTTTGAAAAATGCTTTTCACAGAAAATAGAATTTGGTTTAAAATGTATTCCTCAAACCAAACATAACCTAAGTTATGAAAACTGTAATTTACAACTCTGAATTTTTCATGAAATTGACCCATTTTCAAGGGTATAGCTCAAGATGAGATATCCTTCCAAAGCAAGAAAACGGGAACATGATGAACTAATCATCAATTGTCCTGATATTCTCTTGATAGATTAGATACTAGAGAATGACAAAGAAGGGGAAAAACATATACATCATTACATACTTAGCTGCCATGCTGCATGTCTAGCCTCTTCCAACAGATTCAATCTTGTGCAAATACCACAGTTCACGAATGCAGGCTAAGTTTCAACAAGTGCACTTGTCGATTAGAAACACAACGTGAGACGTCGTGAGTTTGTGACCTTGTCCCTACCAACAGCATCGCCAAAAGGTATTTTCATCATCAAATTTACGTCGGTAAGCTAGCCAACATACACAAACCAATAACACAGTTCCACTAGAGATCTGTCGCACGCATTTCATGTAATATGCACATACTATTCACAAATCTCAGCAATTCACAAGCACTTCTTCCTAATGATTAACCAGCTAGCAATTCTTCCTAAAGCAAATACCCATGTGCTGCTATGCTGGCTAAATTTTGTCAACCTTGCTGACAACAAGTTCCATATAATGCAGGACCTCCGCACAGCAGTAGACAGTTTCGTAGCAATTACTTGCATATTTCTTCCTTACCAACTTGCATATTTCTTCCTTACCAAAAAATTATAAACCGCTAACTTGTAGGAATTACGCCGTAAGCAGACCAGCACAATGACATTGCACATTATTCCCACAACTAATTTTGCCAAGCAAACAAGTGCGTTAATGAACTACACTTAACATTTAACAGCAGTAGATAGATGAGCATATTCAATGGCTCAAATTCAATAACCACGCATGATATACTTAGTGGTATTTATATAGAAAACAAAAGGACAAATCCAAAACAATCAATCGAACTACCAAACAAATGTTACAATTCCCTTCCAAAAACCCGTGATTTCCTTTTACAAAATTTCCAAAGAAATGATGAATTTCAAGCCATATAATCTTCCAAATTGCCTCTTCACATGGCTTTGTTTGTAGTGAATAAAATTGAACATAAAAAAATAGCATCATCTATTGTGATAACAATCGACCCCACCAACATAAACTCACGGGCATATTACTGCAGAAAATATAAAGGATTATCTACAAGTTATAAAAAGTTATGCCTCTGATTCTTCAAATCATGGACTACTTAATGTTTCTGTATTTCTAACTGCTGGGATGCTCTCTCATTAGAACCTTCTATACTACATTACTACCCCTTCCCCTCATGTCTCATCCCATGAATATAATGTCAAGCTCTCTGTTCTTTGTGATTTTCTTCGGCCAGACTCTCAATCTTATGGCTCAATCTACGACGACGCCCATCAGCTCTCGCATCACTGTGGTAGGTGCTGTTTACTGTGATACTTGCCTCAACGACGGTTTTTCAAAACACAGCTACTTCATCCCAGGTAATTACTTACAGCTAACATACTAAAGAAAAACATCTTGAATAAAGCTGTGTTTGGTTTGGAGGAAAATGATTTTTAAAAAGGAATTTTTAGTTTCAGTGGAAAGTACATTTTACAGGAAATTAGCCTTCAATTTTCATTTCGTATTGGTTCTTTGCTGCAAAAATTTAAGAGTATATGAAGGAAGATTGAGGAGGAAAATGTAGACATTCCTTTGAGATAAGGATTAGGAAAATGTAGACATTCCTTTGAGATAAGGAATAGGAAACTTAGTTTTCCCGGAAAAATAATTTTCCTTCCAACCAAACACAGGACAGCCAGTTCACTGACATTCTATTGCATAAAACCAAATTATAATAGGTTCTTGTTGAAATAATAGGTGCCGACGTACACATACAATGCAAATTCAATGCAAAATCGCCAAAAACAGCGGAGATGATAAACTTCTCAGTTAACAGAACAACAGACATACATGGAGTATACAAGCTGGAAATACCTTCTGTTGATGGAATAGATTGCGTAGATGGTCCTCCGATCCAGTCATTCTGTCAGGCGAGTTTGCTGGGAAGCCCATCTTCAGCCTGCAATGTTCCAGCCCTGAAAGCTACAACAACTGAAGTTTCAGTCAAATCCAGAAAAGAGAATCTTTGTGTTTACAGCTTCACTTCTCTGAGTTTCAAACCGAGAAAAAAGAATGATAAATTGTGCAGGAAACCAGAAAAAGTAAAGGAATTATCAAATTCTGGTAGTTCATCCAAGTCCTTGCTTCCACATGATTTCCCTTTACCAAATCAAAAAACTTCTAAATCACAAGCTTCAAACTTGCAATCTTTTCCTTTCCCATTTTCGCCTCCCTCTTTACCTTTTCCGTTCCCATTTTCAAGTCCTCCATCTTTACCCTTTCCATTTTCAAGTCCAGCTCCATCTTTACCCTTTCCATTCCCTCCAGTTCCTTCCCTCTTTCAACCGCCACCTCCACCATCCTTTAGTCTAGGAGACCCAAGAACATGGATACCTCACATCCCACTTACATCTCCACCATCACCCCCACCACCTGTATTTGATATACGCAATCCAAGAACTTGGACACCGATAATTCCTCCACTCACTCCACCAAAACCTTAGAAAACAGAATTCATGAAGTAGGATTTTTGTTTTCCAGTTATCAAAAAATTATTGCTTTATATTGTTCCTTGTTACACATATTGTGACTCAAAATATGAGTCTATGATGTACAGCAGGAATTACATATAAATATTGTAATGTATTTGTGTCAAATTACTACAGTCAATATAGCTCATACATTCACAGATTCACAACCCTTTAGCAAAGTAATACCAGGGAAAAGAAAAGCAATATATTATGGCACCGAACTACAACTAACATCATAACAAATTATCAGCATAAAGTATAATCTCTGTTATAAAAAAGAGTAAACAGCACATTTCAATACCTAGCATTGAAATCAATCATAGAGATTCTAAAGACAAATGAGTAAAGGCTTATTTCCAGCAAACAAACAAACCAGCATATTGTGAATATTTAAGGGTAGAAGACATACAGGCATCAAATCCCAATTACACAGGATTTCACAAGCGCCAGAATTGCAGATTACAGGCGATTGAATCATAATAGCAGCTGTGAAGAAAGCAAAGAAACATAAATTGGAGATCAAACAAAGCTATGGCCAACAATGAACACATTGTAGAATATTAGAAGATTTCTTGAACAGAACAGTTTCAAAAGTAAACAAACCATGGAAACATTAAATCTAGCCTATTAATTACACAGCTTATGCTTCACAAACATGCATAGTACTCTGCGGTGAATGTACACAGCACATTTTGATACCTAGCATTGATATCAAACATAGAGATTATAAACAATTAGTAAAGGCTTATTTCCAGAATTCCAGCAAACAAACATAACAGCATATTTGCAAATATAGAAGACATACAGGCATTGGATCCTAATTACACAGCATTGTACAACCACCAGAAGTGCAGATTATAAGAGATTGAATCAGAATAGCAGCCATGAAGAATGCAAAGAAGCATGAAATGGAGATCAAATAAAGTTATGACCAGCAAAGAACACATTGTAGAATATTAGAACATTTCTTAAACAGAACAGTTTCAAAAGTGAACAAGCAGTCAAGCAATAAAAAACGTGTAATTTCAGAAGCATTCTCAGAAATCCAGCTTTGCAGAGCTGATGCCCCATAAACATGCATTGTAGGCTAGTAGCAATTAGCAGTTGCTATACAGTATTCCTGTACCCCGTTCCAAAAACTGAAACCATGTTAATCAAGGTAACTATGCTTGCATACTAGAGCACTTGCCAAGTTGCCAGCATTGTCCACGCAACGAACTTTTGCTCTACATGTTAGTATTTTGCTAGCTTATGTTCAAAAGTTATTACAAGGGAAATTGAGGTATTTAAAAGACTATAAACTCAGTGATGACTCTTCAATAAGCAGGCAGGTTTGCATGCTTGAAATTAGGGTATTTCCACCGACGAAAACATGCCATTTAATAAACAGGTAGGGAAGTCATGCAGCTACATCTGACAGGCAAACAACCAACTCGTATTTCAGGAATGGTGAAAATGCATTTAATATTCATTGTCTAACAGCAGAAGCATGAAGCACAGCACGGGAACTCAGAAGTAACCATAGTTTCTAGTATTAATACAGACAGAAGTAAGATTACTTGTGTTGCAAAGATTGATGCTCAAAGCCACATACGTTCACCTCTTCCTGCACAGAGCTGAGATGTGTTTGCAGTTGAAATAAATATAGGCATTCAGAAAAATAGTTCCCACAAATGGTCCAAAATCTGAAAGTATTTCCAATAGTCTGCCACAAAGAAAACATTTGCAATGACCCATATATATACACCTTTCGTGGAATATGTGACACCACATTATACAATATGGAATCACTTATATATCAAGCAAAAATCATGGACAAAGGTACAATCTGCTTGTCATTAACATAATTATACAAATTGAGTTCATATAGTTTCAAAAATACAGAATTCCAAATTTAAATTCAGAACATTTATCTAGCAAAATTTACTAGATGACCATATGATAACTACATTTATACTAGTGTAACATCATCCAAATCAAGTTGAGAAGCAATCTCCTCAAGCTGTTTCTTCACACTCATATCAACCAACTTGGAACCTTCATTACCATACCTGACAGTGAATCCAGCAACCAGTGAAGGATCAATCACTGTCTTAATCCTCACATTCTTCGCCCCTGTCATCCGTTGGACACTCTTAGCAATCTGAGCCAAGTGATCATTCTCCAACTTCACCACCGAAGTCACCACTGCTACTTCAGTGTTGGTAATCTTATTATACACATCCTCAAATGCATTCAATATGTTTATAACCTGATCGATTCGCTCTGAATCAATCAAAATGTTAAGGAAGTTAGCCGTATGAGGCTGGAGTCCTGCGGTGCTGACGATCTCATCCAAGACACTACGCTTTCTCTCAATGCTAATCACTGGGCTTGCAAAGAAGTAATACACCTGTACAACACGAATTCAGCTGAATGAGGTGATCACTCCAACAATATTACGAAGTATATAACTACTTACAGAAACCTAATTGTCGCTCCAATATGTCATCACATTGTTCAAACAAATCAAATAACAGGAACTTGTACTTAAATTGAAGCAATAATTAAACTGACAAATATACGAACACAATAATTTGAGTCAAATCAACTTAACTTTGAGTATAATTAAAAATTTGACAGATATTATGAATTGCAATCATCAAGAACTATAAAAAAAAATTGTGTATATAAAATGACAGATAAAATGGCACATTATTCGAACATAATTAATCAGCAGCAATTTGTGTATATTTAGGGCGTAGAAAAATTGACAGATGGAATCAAAATTACGTGAAACTTCTACAACAAATCAACAATTCAAACTTAAATTGAGTGTATGACACAAATTCACAGACATAAATCAACAAAATCGTCAAAAATTGAAATAATCCTGAAAATTGTTTATAATTTCGTAAAATCGATGAAAAATTATACCTGTTCTTCGGCGAAAATCCTGGAGAGTTTTTCAACATCAGCGCTAGTTTCATCAAGAGTACCGGTGGAATCGGCGACATCGGCGAGAGCGGAGGCGTACCTGCTGGCGGTGGTGTCAGCCATGCGAGCACCGAGAGCTCCGCCGCCGCGAGGCTTGGCGGAGAGTTTCGAGGTGGTTAAAATCTGGAGCCTGAGAGGATTGAAGGTGGCGGTAGAAGAGGAGAAGGAGAGAGAAAATGGCGTCGGAGCTTTGGTAGCAGAAGATGAATTTGATAATGCTGCAACAGTTTTTGTTCTGGATTGCAAGGATACTGGAGTTTGCAGAGTTGCCGCCATTGTTGCCGGTTAGAGAGAGAAAGTGAGGTGAGGTGAGGTGAGGTGAGGAGAGAGAAAGTGAGGTGAGGTGGGATAAGCAGAGAATGGATGGAGGTTTTGAGTGATGGTTTTGGATGAAAGATGACCTCTTGTTTTTCTGAGGGGATCAAAAATTTATTTTAAAAAAAAAACACTAAAATAAAATTGATTTTTTTGGAGGATAAAATAGAGATGTGGTGATGTTAATTTGATTGGCGCGGAAATTAGATTTGTTCTTCTTGTGGGGTCACATTTGTAAAATCGTTGTTCATCGTTTTTCTTTTTATCTTGTTCTTTTTTAGGTTTTCTTTTTGAGGGAAATGTTCTTTGTTAGGTTAGAATTAAGCTAGTTAGATCTTTGTATTTTTGGGTTTATGGACTTATAAAGAGGGGAGAGGGAGTAATTCTTACTCCTTAGCTCCTTGCCTATAGTGCAGCAGAATAAAGGTTACCCATTGAATTGATATAACAATGCTATTTTAGAAACAGTATTTATTATAGGGCTGGCAAACAGGTCGAGTCGGGTCGGGTTCAGGTCGACCTGTTTACATAAACGGGCCAGGACCCCCCAACCTGAACCCGACCTGTTTACTTAAACAGGTCAAAATAACCAACCTGAACCCGACCTGATTATAAACGGGTCGACCTGAACCCGACCCGCCTAAATCTGATTTTTTTTTAATTAAAAAAAATTAAAATAAAAACCTGTAATTTACTAATTTCTTTATACTGTAATTTTTTTAACCTGTAATTTGACTAATTTCTTTAACCTGTAAGATTCAAGTATTCAAGACTTCAAATTCAACACATAATTCAAGCAAACATAACTTAACAACATAATTCAAGAAAATCCTGCTGCATTAGTGCATTGTCCATACTTCATAGTTTCATACACTCACAACAACAACTAAAACTTGAAAAGTAGCTAGCCAACAAGTCCAAAATATTTCCAAGAGTTACATGTCCAAAATACTTCCAAGTAGGCAAATAAAAGTTCAACTAGAAAACCAAATACATGTCCAAAATAACAGTAACAGTTTCATCAACTAATTTTAGAAGAAATTAACAACATAATTAGGTTTGACTCTCCATGACAGCAGGACTTTCTGGTGCACTTTGTGGAGGGCTGGGGCTGGGAGTATCCCCCACATCATCGTTGACTTTCATGGCCATGATTTTTCCACATAAATCTTGCAATTGCGGATCCATATTAGCTACAACCAAAAGAATACATACAAAAGTTAATTTCAGCCTTAAGCATAAATAAAATAGTACAAAAAAGAAACAAAAAAAATTGTAATTTTAAATACATAAACTATTTTCATACCTTCACCAAAAGTCCAACCTTTGAGGCAAATGATAGCTTCTGCTGTGTTTGGTTTCAAAGAGCTTCTATAGCAGTCCAAAACTCGACCACCAGTACTGAAGGCAGATTCTGAAGCTACTGTTGAAATAGGGATTGCAAGGATGTCCCTTGCCATCTTTGAAAGAATTGGATACCTCACAACATTTGTTTTCCAATGATATAGAATATTAATGTTGGTTGCACGAGGAATCAATGGCTCTTCCAAGTAGATTTGCAAGTCAGATTTAGCAGCAACATATGATTTGCTAGAAGAGAAGTTATCAAAGTCCTAAAAGATGTTTAAACAAAAATTACAATAAAGCATACAAAAAACAGAATTTAAAGCTGATTATCAAACAAAAAGCAAGTGTTCACAGTTACCATCATAAAAGAATCAGAAGCAACATCAACTTGCTCTTCATTAGGCTGTCTAGAAGAACGGCGCCTTGTTCGTGGTGTTGTTGTGGAAGCCTCAGTCACATAAGCACCATATAAATAATCCAACCTTTCCTTGAACTTCACCAACTCATTAGTACCCTCTATTTCCCCATACACCTTCTTAAAAGCCCACTCCACAAACTCATACTTAAATCGAGGGTCTAAAACAACAGCCACAACCATGATTATGCTAAAGTTGGTCCAATATTTAGCAAATTTCTCATTCATTCTTGCTGCCATCTTATGCATGAAGTTATCAGAATTTTCAAGCTCCTCTTTCAAGAGTAAACGGATTTTCAACACATTTGGGAAGTATACATTAGCGGTAGGATAATTAGTACCCGAAAAAACATTTGTCACATAAAAAAAGACCTTCAAAAATCTAAATAACTTCTCTATTCTCCCCTACTCCTCATTTGTTGGACAATGAATGTAATTGGCATCAACCTTTTGAAAATGAAGAAAAGCTTTTTGGTAGTACAAAACATTCTCTAACATCAAATAAGTTGAATTCCATCTAGTAGGGACATCTTGTCTCAATCCTTTACTTGAGTCTAGTTCAACATGTGCCACACAAGTCAAAAAACGTTGCTTTCTAGCCTGAGACCCTTTACAATACTTCACAGTTTCTCTCACCTTAACAACAGCCTCATTAATTTCTTTTAACCCATCTTGCACAATTAAATTTAGGATATGTGCACAACACCTCACATGGAAATAATCCCCCCCCCCCCACATACCAAATCAAGTTCATTTTTAATTACATCAGCAAACACATCATTAGAGGAAGCATTATCAAGAGTAATACACATGATTTTCTTTTGGATACCCCACTCTTTAAGAAAATCATAGACATGGTCAGACATATGGACACCGGTGTGAGGTGGAGGCAAAAAACGAAAGTTCAGAATTTTTTTTTGCAAATTCCATTGATTATCAACAAAATGGGCAGTCAAAGACATGTAACCATCAGTAGTAATTGAAGTCCAACAATCAGATGTAAGAGAAATCCTACCCTTAACTACACTCAACTCCTCCTTAAGTTTATCTTTTTCCCTCTTAAACATTTTCAGAACATCAGCCTTCAAAGTATTCCGAGACACAAGTTTAACATCAGGATTTATGTAATTAATCAACTTCCTAACAGCACTATATTCAGCAAACTGAAAAGGCAAATCATGTTTCACCACAGCAATAGACAACATCTCACGAACAATATCATAATCAATTGTAGGAACCCTATTCATCATAGAACCAGAACTGCTTGAATCAATAATCATCTGACCCACATCTTTAAAGGTCCTTTTTTTACATTTCTTAATGTGGCGTTTTAAATTACCAGTTCCTTCCCTACTTTCAGCATTATATTTCTGCCCACATTTTTTACACTTGCAAATGATGTTACCTTGTTCGTCAGGTTTATCAAGGAATTCAAAATTTGCCCACACATCTGAAGTGAGCTTTCGTTGGCGCTTGAAATGAATTCCAGGCTTATTCAGCGAGGTGACATTAGAGGTTTTCTTCTTTGATTCCGTTTGATGAGAATCAGAAACTTCATCATCTGAATCAGAATCCTGAAGATCAATGGGTTCATCAGGATTAGGGCTATTAGCCATCTGTGAATAAATTAAAAAAAGAATACACTCATGGCATAAAAGATAAAACATGAAAAACAGAAGTATAAACTCATGAGTCATGACATAAAGAATCAAACTCATGAAATTGCAGAGTAAGAAAATCAAATCAGGGCAAAAAATCGCATAAACAAATCGCAAATAATCGCAAAATAAGTAAATAACAAATCAAATCTTCGAAAGAAATTGCAGAGTAAGAAAATAACAAACGAACAACATTAAATGATTAAATCACATAAACAAAGCATACATAAACCATAATAGCAAAAAATCGCATTAAAAAATCAAAGAAATCTGAAAATTGCATAACCAAATCAAGGAAATTGCATAAACAAATGACTCATGAGCAAACAAACTCATAAAAAATCGAATAATAGGATTATTACCTTCAGAATGTTTGAGATGAAGCTTCAATCTTCAAGGTTCAAGCATTTTTATTTCAATCTTCAAGAGTTAGAGAGAGAAAAGAGAGGAAAGAAGAGAGAGAAACTGAGAAGAGAGAGAGTTTGAGTGAAAGAAAGCGGCGAGAGAAAGAGGGAATTAGGGTTAGATAATTTGGGCTTGGCCCATATTTTAAAATTAGGGTTTTAAGTTAAGAGGGTTGGGTTCGGGTTGACCCGACCTGAAACCGACCCAATTAAATAAACGGGTTTATGCGTGTTGGTTTCGGGTTGGGATTTTCAACCTGAACCCGACCCATTTAACTTCAGGTCGGGTTCGGGTTGACCCAATTAAATAAACGGGTTGAAAATCTCTATCAAAACCCATTTATTTCGGGTTGGGTTCGGGTCGGGTTGTCGGGTCGGGTCATCTTTTGCCAGCCCTAATTTATTATAACCTTTTCGCTAACTAGTTTGATAATTGACATTTGTTAAATCCTTTTGTATCATATTAGCAAAAGTTATCATTAGAAAATCAATGCCATTAAAATGATATTGGTATATATATTCTCTTTTTGTAAATTGTTAACACCTTTATCCCATCAACTAATTCAAAGATACTAAAATTTTAACACTATCAAGAACAATTTGTTAAAATTTCTTCTAAGTTTTTGAGATTAAAAGGAGCACTAATGTCTACATCAATAATCAATAACATAATACTAAAACAGACACTAGGAATAATGACACGTGTCTCTTTCCTAATAAAAGGAATAATTTTAATTTTTTTTTTAAATATACTTTTTATATATTCATCAAATCATTTGATTGTGATTCACTTTCCTAATAATATATATATATATATATATATATATATATATTTGTGATTCACATATTTTCCATATCTTTTATTGTATATATATTATTATTATTATTATTATTATTATTATTATTATTATTATTATTATTATTATTATTATTATTATTATTATTATTATTATTATCTCAAAAACAGACAAAGTCATACAACCTACAACAAATTAGTGGGAAGCCGAGATACAATCTGGGCCCCCACTCCTCTAGCTATAACAAAGTCTACCCTAGTGAAGATATAAGCTGCAGCACGAGACCCGATGTCTTGCGTCGTCGAGAACCTCTGAACTCGCTTCAGCAACACAACAACCTCCTTCTCTAATTCCCCAAGCGAAGAAAAGGAGAAGGGAATGAAACCATATCCAATCAGCCGACAACTAGCTTCATACTTCATCCTCTTCCGATGAGCCGCATCAGCCACAACCCGTCCAGGAACAAAGTCAGAAAGCCCTGTCTGTGTCATAGGAGAAGACCCTATTAAGTCCACACAAACATCGCGACCACGATTCCAAGAATAAAGTAACACATCAGCAGGTCTAAGGGCCCCGTCATTCCCTCCAGACAACCCTATGTCAACCTCCTCTTTCTTGCTGAAATCCCAGATCTGTAGCAGATATCAACAAGGATATCCCGGACAATATTATGCCGATATTTAATACCCACAAGACCAGCACATGACACCGCGTGATCACCAAAAATATCCCCAGGAAAAACCCGAGAACAAGCAAAGCACGGCGTCGAGATATAGAACAATGCAACACCCATCCTGTAGCACAACACACACTGGTAGGTCTTTGGGTTCATCGTCTGACCCAACCCAGAAATAGGGACTGCCCGAAGCCAAGCAGAGGTGTGATCTCCCTGTTGCGATTTCCACAATGCTGATTGCCGAGGAGTCAAAGAATAGACGGATTCTGCAGAAGCGGTAACCTTTGTGAAATACATATCTGCCAATTTCTTCATGAGTTTAGGGGCAGCGACCTCACTAGGATCACTCATAATGTCAGATTCCACTATTCCATTAAACAAACTCAACACATCTCCAAAGGCTCGTACAAGACCAACAACACCAGCATGTCGTAATAGATGTGTCTGCAACCCAGCAGAATGTAACCGAGAAGCAAGAAAAGCATAATGACGAACATCACCTGTGGAATAAACACCAAGCCCGCCATACGCAAAAGGTAAGGTGGCAAGCCGCCATTGCCAATCGCCAAACCCAGGCCCTGAAGCAACAACGATACGCTCTAAGGAAGATCGAAGAGCCTCGTCGAATGTGAGCTGAGCCTCCTCAAAAGTACTAGGTGGACAAGTACGCAAAGCAAAGTAGAGTTTAGAAACTCCGGTACAAGCCCTAAGTAACAATAACTCGCACTGAGGATCATTAAGCTTAGCAACCTTATCCATTAGTGTAATGGTCCTGGTAACCTTTTGCATCACAAGCTCACTTCCAAACCCAGAATCAGAACTAGCCGGACCACCAAGCAACTTAACACCACGCAAGGGTCGAATAATATTCAATCTATTATTATTATTATTATTATTATTATTATTATTATTATTATTATTATTATTATTATTGTTATTATTATTATTATTATTATTATTATTATTATTATTATTATTATTATTATTATTATAACAAAAACCTACAAAGTCAATTGATTTACAAGAAATTAGTGGGGAGCCGAGATACAATCTGGGCCCCCACCCCTCTAGCTATAGCGAACCCGATCCTGTTGAAGATATGAGCAGCTGCACGAGCACCAATATCCTGAGTCCTAGCAAACGCCTGAATCCGCTTCAGCAACGCAACAACATCCTTCTCTAATTCCCCCAATGAAGAAAAGGAGAAAGGAAGAAAACCATAGCCAATTGCCCTGCAACACGCCCCATACTTATCCCGCTTCCGCTGAGCCGCAACCGACACAACACGACCAGGAACAAAGTCAGACAACCCAGATTGAGTCAAAGAAGAAGACCCCGTCAAGTCAACACATACATCAAGACCTCTTTCCCAGGAATAAAGCAACACATCTGCTGGTCGAAGGGCCCCGTCATTCCCTCCAGTCAACCCAACGTTAACCTCCTTCCTTGCAGAAATCCCAGAGCGGAAACAAATATAAACAAGGGTATCACGAACAACATTGTGTCGATGCTTAATACCCACCATCCCAGCATAAGACACTGCATGATCCCCATAAATATCCCCATCAAAAACCCTAGAGCAAGCAGAACACGGAGTCGAAACGGAGAACAAGGGAACACCCAACCGGTAGCAAAGAACACAACGGTAAGTCTTACCATTCATAGTCTGACCCAAACCTGATATCGGGACCGCTCGCAACCAGGCAGATGTGTGATCCCCCTGCTGGGACTTCCATAAGGAGACCTGACGCGGAGATAAGGAGAAAGTGGATTCTACAGAAGCAGTGACCTTCGCGAAATATATATCTGCCAATTTCTTCATGAGGTTAGGGGCAGCGATCTCACTAGGGTTACGCAAAAGGCTAGTATCCACAGTCCTATTAAAAAGACTAAGAGCGCCATCGAAGGCCGGACCTGGACCATCAATACCAGAATTGCGAAGAAGCGAAGTCTGAAGACCAGAAGACTGCAAACGCAACGCAAGGAAAGCATAGTGACGAACATCACCCGCTGAATAGACACCCAATCCACCATAAGAAAAAGGTAAGGTGGCAAGTCGCCATTGTCAATCACCAAAACCTGGCCCCGAAGCAGTTACAATGCGCTCCAAAGAACCTCGAAGGGCCACATCAAAAGAAACCTGGGCCGCTTCAAAAAGACGAGGAGGACAAGTACGCATAGAAAAGTAGAGTTTTGAAACCCCAGTACACGCACGAAGTAGTAACAGCTCACATTGGGGATCCTCAAGCTTAGCAATAGCATCCATGAGCTCAATGGTCTTCGAAACTCTCTGCGAAACAAGCTTACCACAGAAAGAGGCATCCGCACTGACAGGACCACCAAGCAACTTAACACCATGAACAGGACGAGCAATGTCCGGAGGAAAGACACCGGCCAAACGGCTATGTGGGTCCTCCGTGGGCCAGAAAACTTCCGTTTTCTCAATGTTAACATGGAGGCCGAGACTAGGTCCCTCCACCAAAATCAAATCCATGACCTTCCCTACCACCAAGGTGTCACCAATAATAGTGCCATCATCCAAATACCAAGCCTGCAAACATAAGTCGAAAGAATCCCTGATTCGACAAACCAACGGATGGAGCACCAAAGCAAAAGGCAAAGGGCCAAGAGGATCACCCTGCTGCACACCTTGACATGACCTTAAGGTATGCTCCCCATAAAACAGCCTGGCTGGAGTAGAGTAACAGAATTCAACCCAACGCGAGAGAGCTGGACAACGGAGACGGACCTCACGCAGTAAAGCTGTACAATCAACCAAATTAAAGGCATTCCGGAAATCCACTAGCAACATAGAGAGGCTAACATCACCACCACGAGCCTCAACCAAACGATTAACAGCATGAAGAATAGCCTCACCACCCGCCGGCACACCAACACCAAACTGAAGACCTCCTAAATAGTTTCCCAGACGCGGACCAATTAAAGCAGCCCCAACCTTTGAAACCAGACGCCTCCAAACAGTACCCACAAAAATAGGTTGAATACCACCACCAGGCTTAACAAGTGGCGTGAGAGGAGCACTGGCGATGTATTCTCCCAACACAGCAGGACATTTCCCAGCGAGAAAGAGATTAACCACCTGCGCAATAGAGTCTACCAACTCATCCGAAATAGCAACTGCAGCACCACCCAAGCAATCCATAAGGTGTTGAGCACGCAAGTCGTCTCTAACGCATGACGTACCACGCGGAAAACCCCTAATTTGATCTAAAACAACAGAAGGATTAGCAATAAGGGGCTGATCAATGGGGATGTCCGGTAAGATAGGAGTCGGAAAGGAAGGGTGCTTAGCTTGCAAATCAGCAAGAGTAGCATCATTGTAAGGGGCAAGACCAGAAGACGAAAGTACCCGAACCGCAGCAGTATAATGTCCGTCACTAATCTTTCTCTTACATTGCGTAATATTACCCTCAGACAAATTATGCACATCATCAATTATTATTATTATTATTATTATTATTATTATTATTATTATTATATATCTATACTATTCAATCTATAACGTAATATTAAAACAGACACTAGGAAGAAATCAACTCTAGAAATAATTATATATCTATACTATTCTAGAAATAACACGTGTCACAATTTGGTACTATTTTTTCCTCTATTTTTCCACGGTGACATCAACTACTTATTGTAAAATATACTAAAAATATTCACCAAATCATTCACTTACTTAAACAAGATATATATTTGTGATTCACATAATTTCCATAAAATACTATTCTAACGTCTATTACTTTGTATATATACGGAGTATATATTATTTCCTAATCCTTATGCAGTATTTTATTCCTTCAAATCTTCAATATATTATATATGCAATAATTTTGTAAAAAGGAAAAAAAAAATAATAATTATGCGTTTTTAGAAATAATTGATTCATACTTGATTATTACTATTACTATTACTATTACTATTATTCCCTAAGCCTTCTTTAGTTATTCATATATTCTCTATTTAGAAATTTCAAAATTGTTTTAATTTCTTATTAGGAAACGATTTCCTAATAACATTTTTTTTTTACAATATCAATCTTATTTGGTTTATTTTTAATTTTTAGTTATTTATGTATATCAAAAACACGACAAAATAGATATGTTTTTTACTATCCTAAATTGTATCGAATACATTATAGTAATTATTTATGTTACAATCCCGTAGTGTTTAATATACAATTTTAAAATACTTAATTATTTAGTTAATAAAAAGACAAACGATATCAATTTATCATTAAAATTTTAAACTTATTTGTCTAATTACTCTGTCGTCATTATATTTCATGTTTCATTACATTATATACATAAAAAAAATACTATGGTTATATATTTTTTCCACATGCATTATAGAAAATATTTTATTTTTGTTTTTAAAAATTTTGTGTTGAATTATAAACAATAGTGAAATTAATTACTGTGCATGGCACGAGACTTAATCTAGTAACATAAAATAATACTAAAACAAACACCAGAAAGGACACGTGTCACTTTCTGGTGCTGTTTATTTCCCTCCAACTTTTTCAAAAAAAAAAAAAAACTTTGAACTATTTTTTTTTTACAACAAATATCCTTGATTGATTATATATAAAATTTACGGTGTATTCACCGTCTCAGAAAATCCTTGAATAAAAATTATACAAATGATCATATATAGAGATCACTTTTGTCATATTTCAAAAAATATTATTATTTCAAAAGATAATCTTTAACTAATTTACATAAAATTTACTATAGGATTTGCTTGAGAATATAATTGATGTTTACATTCATTAATAGTGCAAAAAACTACAAAGATACAAAGCTTACATACGAGTAAGATCTAGCCTATAATTAAATAGGTACTTTTTTGATTAAATATATTATGAGTAATAATTAACAAGATTTGTACCCATAAAACCGAGTACATGCACTAATGTCAAAAAAATATAATCAAATTATTCAAAAAATATTTTAAGGAATATATATCCCTTTAAAGTTCACAGTTTACACATATCTTTTGCGTTAAACATAAATAGTTTAAAACTTTCACAACTAATTTATGAGAAAAAAACATCAAATTGTATTAAACTTAAATATTCATATGATCTTATTATTATACTATTAACCTTAGATATTTTATTAGTTAAAATGTGGAGAATATTTTCATTTTGACGATCACAAAGTTTTCAAAAACAATTCCTTACAAATATTAATGCTCACAATTTTATAGTTTGTATACCACTGCACGTATAGAACTATATATATTATGATTCTTTCTCAAAAATAAAAAAATATAGATTATGATTCTTATGCCATATGATTAATAATAATAAGAATATATTACATGTTTATAAGATGAATTATGACTACCATTTATCTTTTCTTCATATGAAAATTATCGATCAATATCAATATCTAAATATTCATGCATTAGATGTTATCGATATATCTAATTGTATGACTGTTGAATTGACTACCTTAATATTTTGATGATTGACTTACATAAAACAAACTCTGACTAATGATGTTTATGAGTCTTGGTTGAACAGAAAGATTCAGGTACACAAATACATGTTTCGGAGTAGGAACAACAGAGTTTGGAAGACTTGATGATGAATGCAAGCTTTCAAGATGTCCTCATAACTCTATATACTTAGTTACTCAGTGTACGAGCTTAAGAAACAAAAGTGTTGGAAGGAATGGAAGGAATTAAGAAGAAACTCGAAGTTCCTGAAGGAACCTGTAGTTCCCGAAGGAACTTGACGATTGACTCAGAAAGTTTTAAACGAAAGTTTTAAAACAGTTTTCATATCCCTTAATTTAAGGAAGTGATAAAAATCAGTTTTGAAAAAGATTTAATAAATAAATAAATAATTCATTAATTTAAAAAGATAAGTTTTAAATTAATTAATTATTTATCTTTTAATTAATAAATAAATAATTATCTTTTTTTAATAAATAATAATTATCTTTTGAATAAGTCTTTAACTGATTTTTAACTTGGTAAATATTGGATGCTTAAATTAAGGAGCACGTTGAATTTAGGAGTCAAGCTAGGGAAATCATGTTCCTAAATTTTCTCTGCCTACATCCCAACTTCTCAGTCAAAGAGAACGTGGGATTAAGGGGGAAGTGTGAACTTGATGGAAGCTTGGTTTAACTCCTTATAAAAACAAATCAACGTTAAGTTTTGAAAGCGTGGAAAAACAATCTTAAGTATTCTGAGCATAGAGTTTCAAAGTGTTTAAAAGAGAAGTTCCTTCCATCCTTAGTCTCTTAAGTTCTTTAGGAAATACTTGTAATCATTGTGTAATTGGGTTTGGGTTGTGAGAGTTGTAAAGTGTGAGACTTGAGAGAGTTGTTTACACTGTACAAGTGATTCGGAGTAGAATCACAAAGTGTGAGAAACTGTGATTGAGGGATCACAGTTGGGTAACTTGAGTTCCTCACGGAACTTGAGTCTAGGTAACGTATTAGTGATTGTAAATCATTTTTACATAGTGAATTTATTCATTGCCTATCTCAGTGTCTTTTCTCTTAGTAGTAGATTTAATTCCGCAAAATTTACTATAGTCTACATACACTACAATTCACCCCCCCTCTTGTAGTATACATTGTTCTATCAATTGGTATCAGAGCAAGGAACTCGGAAAAGCAGGAAGCCCTGTCGAGTCAAGTTCCTGGAGGAACAATGTCAAAGGACGAGAGACTAGCTGAAGGTTATTCTACACAAAGACCTCCACTCTTCAATGGGAAGTACTACGCCTATTGGAAGACGAGGATGGAGATGTTCATACAGTCCGAGAATTATCAAGTCTGGCGAGCTATCGAGGTAGGAGATTACGAGGTAACAAAGACCAATGCAGAAAACGAGGTAATTCCTAAACCTATTTCTGAATACGATAGAAGCGACTTTGAGAAGAAAGAGATTAATGCTACTGCTAAAAAACTCCTAGTTTGGGGTTTAGGGCCAGATGAACACACTCGTGTTATGGGATGTAAAACAGTAAAAGAAATATGGGATTTACTAGAAATAACCCACGAAGGAACTCATGAAGTTAAACGTTCTAAAATTGATTTACTGCTTTCTAAATATGAACGTTTTGAAATGGGTTCAAAAGAAACTATTCAAGAAATGTTTACTCGTTTTAAAAATATTACTAATGAATTAGTTTCTCTTGGTAGAGTTATTCCTATGGATGAACAGGTACGCAAAATTCTAAGGAGTCTTCCTGAAGATGAACGGTGGAGATCCAAAGTGGCAGCTTTGCAGGAATCAAAGGACTTTACAACTTTCAACCTTGAACAACTTGCAGATTCCTTAATAACTCATGAGCTTCACCTATCAAACAAAAGCCAAGAAAGTTCAAAGAGCCGAGGAATTGCTCTAAAGGTTGTCCAACCAAGTGAAGAGGATTCCGAATCTGGAGAGGAAGAAGCTGCCATGCTAGTCAGGAAGCTAAAAAAGTTGTACCGCAACAAAAGGTTTGGTGACAAAAAGAAAAGGAACTTCAAGAAAAACCAATATTCCAAGGAAACTGGAGGATGCCACAAATGTGGGAACACAAATCACTTCATCAAGGAATGCCCTCTCTGGGAATCAGAAAAAGGAAAAGGCAAAATGAAGGAACACGGAAAATCTAATACTCCAAACTTTTCAAAATCTGATTACAGGAAAGCCATGATAGCTGCGTGGGGAGACACAAGTTCCGAGGATGAAGAAGAATCCACGGAAGAAGAGACGGCAAACCTATGTTTGATAGCTAAACACAGTGAGTCTGCTAAAAAGTCAGAGGAGGTAAATCTCAAACCTAAATTTCTGAAATCCCTGTCACAAGACAAATTAATTTCTTTGCTCATAGAAACTTTGAATGAATATAAAGAAATATGTCTTAAACTTGGACAAAATGAAAAAGCTCTAGAAATCTATAAGGATCATATGAAATATTTGAATAGTTCAAGAACAGATGTTCAGGGAAGATGCTTTGATTTGCTAGATAGAAACTCTATGCTAAAGGAAACATTGGAAAGAGTCAAAAATGAAAATATCATGTTAAATGTTGAATTGAATCGGTATAAATTGTTATGCACTAACATTGATTCTAATAATGCTCTTCAATTGCCTTTAGTAACCTTTAATGATGATCTTGAAAATTTGAAAAAAGAATTGCAGGTTACTAAAGACAAAAATGAATCCCTTGAAAAGGATTTAGAAAGATCTAGAAACAACAAAAGTGCAATCCACATGGGAGTTCCAAAGTGGATATCTGAAGCTCAAACCAGAAGGACAGAGGGTTTGGGTTTCAACCACAAAAAGAAGAACAGTGGTAAAAAGAAAAAGTACGTGGAACTCCCTAGTGAGACTGTGTGTTCCTTCTGTGGCAAGTCAGGACACAAAGATACTGATTGCAAAAGAAAGGAACTTAAGTCCACTAAAAATATAGCTTATGTATGGCAAAAGAAAAATGAGTTTGCTGTATCAACAAAGGAACCCATGAAAGATAGGGTTCCTGAATCTAACCCTTAGTTTCTTTTGCAGGTCGAAGTGAGGGGGAACAACCAATGATACCTCGATAGTGGTTGTTCCAAGCACATGACAGGAGATAAATCAAGATTTCTCTCACTAACGGCCTATACAAGAGGAACAGTGACCTTTGGTGATAACAAGAAAGGCAACATTGTTGCCGTAGGAAAAGTTGGAAGGTCAAGTTCCCAATCTATTGATAATGTTTTTTTAGTCGAGGTTCAAACACAGCTTATTAAGCATATCACAATTTTGTGATAAAGGAAACTTTGTAAGTTTTGATTCTGAAAAATGTAGCATCATTCAGAATGACATTGGGAAAGTTTTGCTGGAAGGAACTCGGAAAGGAAACACTTATACAGTGGATCTCAATACAGTTCCGAGGAACAACTTAACTTGCCTCAGTGTCATTGAGGATGATCCTTTACTGTGGCATAAACGTTTTGGTCATGCAAGTTTCTCTTTGATTGATAAGTTAAGAACAAGGAACTTGGTAGAGGGACTTCCTTCAATCAAGTTCCTATGTGACAAAATTTGTGACGCTTGTGTGAAAGGAAAGCAGGTCAGGACATCATTTAAATCCAAGAAGATGGTGAGTTCCACGAAACCCTTAGAGTTAATTCATATGGATTTATGTGGTCCTATGAGAATTCAAAGTAGAAGTGGAAAGAAGTACGTCTTAGTAATTGTTGATGATTATTCTAGATTTACATGGGTTATTTTTATGTCTAGTAAGGATGAGACTTTTGACGAGTTTGTTACATTTTCCAGGAGAATTCAAAAGTCCACAGGTCATCAGCTGATACACCTTAGATCCGATCATGGCACTGAATTTGAGAATTTTAAATTTGATGATTTATGCAGGGAGCAAGGCTTAAGTCATAATTTCTCAGCTCCAAGAACTCCACAACAAAATGGAGTTGTGGAAAGGAAGAACAGAACCTTAGAAGACATGGCTCGAACCATGTTAATAGCCAGCGATCTTCCAAGGAACTTCTGGGCAGAAGCCGTGAATACAGCCTGTTATATTATAAATCGTGTCATGCTAAGGCCTATATTAAATAAGACACCCTATGAACTGATGAAAGGCAGAAAACCGAACATATCTCATCTTAGAGCATTCGGTTGTAAATGTTTTGTGCATAATAATGGTAAAAGAAACATAGGGAAATTTGATGAAAGAAGTGATGAAGCCGTATTTCTTGGATATGCTACTAACAGTAAAGCGTATAGAGTTTACAATAAACGTACTATGTGTGTTGAGGAAAGTGTGCATGTTATATTTGATGAAACTAATCCACTTCCATGTACACAGGAACATGAGGACTATGACTTTGAAATTGGTCTAGTACGTTCTCAAGAACAAGAAGAAGATGCAGTAATTCCAAATAAGCAGCCAACTCGAGTAAATGAAAATCATGAAAATCTGGAGAAGGAACTCGACATACTGACTGAAGTTCCTTCGATAGAACAACCTCAGAATGAAGAACCTGCCGAGGAACCAATAACACAAGAGGAAATCACTGAAGAAGAAGCAACTGGCTCAGAAAATAAGAATAGTCGAGTTACTATCCAAACCTTCCAGCCTAAACCTTGGAAGCACCAAAAGTCACACCCACTGGACAAAATTATTAGTGACTTATGCAAAGGAACTCAGACTAGATCGCAAATGAGAAGCTTCTGTGCCTTCAATGCTTTTCTATCTACTTTGGAACCTCGCAACCATAAAGAAGCCTTAGAAGACCCTGACTGGATTATAGCCATGCAAGAGGAACTTAATGAATTCGAAAGAAATCAAGTATGGCATCTTGAACCTAAGCCACTAGATAAAAAGGTCATAGGTTTAAAATGGGTCTTTCGAAACAAACTTGATGAATATGGTACAATTGTAAGAAATAAGGCTAGGTTGGTTGTAAAGGGATATAACCAATAGGAAGGTATTGATTTTGAGGAAACATTTGCTCCTGTTGCTAGACTTGAGGCTATTAGAATTTTAATATCTTTTGCTGCTTTTATGGGTTTTAAACTGTATCAGATGGACGTAAAGTGTGCGTTTTTGAATGGTTTATTAAAAGAAATAGTTTACGTCGATCAACCCCCTGGATTCAAGAATCCAAACTTTCCAAACCATGTTTTTAAACTTGATAAGGCTCTCTACGGGCTAAAACAGGCTCCAAGAGCATGGTACGAAAGACTGTCCAAGTTCCTTTTGGAAAATGATTTTAAACGAGGAAAAATTGATAAAACTTTGTTTTTAAAATCTAAAGGAACTCATCTCTTAGTTGTGCAGATCTATGTTGATGATATTATATTTGGTGCAACTAACGAATCTTTGTGCAAGTACTTTGCTGACTTGATGTGCAGTGAGTTCCAAATGAGCATGATGGGGGAACTCAATTTCTTTTTAGGACTATAGATCAAACAAACAGAATCAGGAATATTTATACATCAGCAAAAAATATGTCAAGGAACTCCTGAAAAAGTATAACCTTGACAGCGCAAAGACTAACCACACTCCTATGGGAACTAACTCTAGGTTAGACGAAGATCCCTAAGGAACTTGTGTGGACCAGACAAAGCACAGAGGTATGATTGGTTCCTTACTATACTTAACTGCAAGTAGACCTGACATTTCTTTTAGTGTTGGTCTGTGTGCTAGGTTCCAATCAAACCCCAAAGAATCGCATCTAACAGCCGTCAAGAGAATACTGAGATATCTCAAAGGAACTGACGACTTGAGTTTATTCTACCCAAGAAGTGACACATATGATCTTAATGGATTTGCCGATGCCGACTATGCCGGGGATTTGGTGAATAGAAAAAGTACATCAGGTATGGTCCAATTCCTAGGATCTTGTTTAGTTTCTTGGAGTTCCAAGAAACAGAATGCAGTTGCTCTATCCACAGCAGAAGCAGAATACGTAGCAGCTGCTGCATGTTGCTCACAACTGTTGTGGATAAAACAACAATTACGTGATTTTGGCATAGTTCTTGAATGTGTTCCAATATACTGTGATAATACAAGTGCTATTTGCATATCAAAAGATCCAGTACATCATTCACGTGTAAAGCATATTCATGTTAGGCATCATTTTCTAAAAGACAATGTGAAAAAGGCTCTATTAAACTAGAATTTGTACAAACTGAATATCAAATTGCTGACTTCTAACAAAGCCTTTGAGTAGTGAAAAATTCAAAAAGATGCGATTGGAACTCGGAATGATAAAGCTGAATTGAGCAGTTCTTCTTGGAACCCCAAGGTATGTCTTAGTTAAACGACTGAGCATTGCTATATATAACCTTGGTGTGAAAAACATAATCTCGAATCTTGCAATGAAAGAGTGTGTAATTCTAATGAGTGTGTGATCATGTGATTATGTTGATGAAGAAGACAAATTAAGCCATATTATTTTCCAAGTTCCTTTGTGAAAAGCTCTGTACAGGTCAACCAGTATTTTACTTTGAAGTAACTTACTGGAATTTTTTTTCTTTCGTAATTTTAATTTTCTTTATCTTTCAATTTTTATCTTTTTATTAATTTTATCTTATAAATTTCAAAACAACAAAAAGATTTTTTTATTTTCTCAATTAGATTTTATCTTATTTTTTATCTTTATCTTTAATTCTTATTTTATCTTAATCATTGTAAGTAAATCACAAAATCCTTTACCTTACCCCACTAAACTTAATATTGTTGAATTGACTACCTTAATATTTTGATGATTGACTTACATAAAACAAACTCTGACTAATGATGTTTATGAGTCTTGGTTGAACAGAAAGATTCAGGTACACAAATACATGTTCCGGAGTAGGAACAACAGAGTTTGGAAGACTTGATGATGAATGCAAGCTTTCAAGATGTCCTCATAACTCTATATACTTAGTTACTCAGTGTACGAGCTTAAGAAACAAAAGTGTTGGAAGGAATGGAAGGAATTAAGAAGAAACTCGAAGTTCCTGAAGGAACCTGTAGTTCCCGAAGGAACTTGACGATTGACTCAGAAAGTTTTAAACGAAAGTTTTAAAACAGTTTTCATATCCCTTAATTTAAGGAAGTGATAAAAATCAGTTTTGAAAAAGATTTAATAAATAAATAATTCATTAATTTAAAAAGATAAGTTTTAAATTAATTAATTATTTATCTTTTAATTAATAAATAAATAATTATCTTTTTTTTAATAAATAATAATTATCTTTTGAATAAGTCTTTAACTGATTTTTAACTTGGTAAATATTGGCTGCTTAAATTAAGGAACACGTTGAATTTAGGAGTCAAGCTAGGGAAATCATGTTCCTAAATTTCCTCTGCCTACATCCCAACTTCTAAGTCAAAGAGAACGTGGGATTAAGGGGGAAGTGGGAACTTGATGGAAGCTTGGTTTAACTCCTGATAAAAACAGATCAACGTTAAGTTTTGAAAGCGTGGAAAAACAATCTTAAGTATTCTGAGCATAGAGTTTCAAAGTGTTTAAAAGAGAAGTTCCTTCCATCCTTAGTCTCTTAAGTTCTTTAGGAAATACTTGTAATCATTGTGTAATTGGGTTTGGGTTGTGAGAGTTGTAAAGTGTGAGACTTGAGAGAGTTGTTTACACTGTACAAGTGATTCGGAGTAGAATCACAAAGTGTGAGAAACTGTGATTGAGGGATCACAGTTGGGTAACTTGAGTTCCTCACGGAACTTGAGTCTAGGTAACGTATTAGTGATTGTAAATCATTTTTACATAGTGAATTTATTCATTGCCTATCTCAGTGTCTTTTCTCTTAGTAGTAGATTTAATTCCGCAAAATTTACCATAGTCTACATACACTACAATTCACCCCCCCTCTTGTAGTATACATTGTTCTATCAATGACTATATGTGTAATAGTTCATGCTTAATTAGGGAAAAAGATACTGGGGGTAGAATAAAAATTTTGTAATTTGAGGTAAATAAATTGGTTAGTGCGAGATAAAACATGTACTATTATTAATTAGAAATTATACCTACTTGAGCAACTAGCTGTATGAAACACACAATTTGGATTTTATACTCTCTAGATCGCTATTGCGGTTACGGTGAAATGTTTGAGTATACTACACTTATACAAAATGTTATTTTTATATCACTATTGAAACTATAAGTTTTTTTTTTATTTTTTTTTATTTTAATTTCAAAATTGAAGATTTATTTATAAATGATTTGTAAACCGTGCATGACACGGGCACTATACTAGTAATATTAAGAGTGTGGTCCATTCACCTAATTTTTATTTAATTGAACTAACTTATTAAACTTATTTTAGTTGTAATTTGAATTTAAAAAACTCTAACCAGATCTTATTTTTCGCGAACTTATTTGAACTTATGAGACTTGAAATAAGTAAAGATAAGATAAACAGAATATACCCTATTCAAAGTAAGAATTACACTAATATTCTGTGTTTTAGCGTTCATAAGGGGATGTATTTTACCAACCACGCTACGTCGCTACTCCATTAACCATAAAGGGCATCAACTTTCCTCTGAAGAAAAAAAAAAAAAAAAAAAGAAAAAAAAAAAAAAGGGCATCAACTAAACTCGTCGTTTTACAACTCATCAATGCCAATTGCCAATTACAAGTATAGTATTCAGTACTCACTAGTAGGAGCCTAGGAGGGACCGAGGGAAGCATAACAGAATAACTACATTCTATACTCAGACCAACAGAAAAACATACAAACTAATATTCGCGGGAACACCAACGTCCTGCAAATTCAGTTCAATGCTTTCTCTCTCTTCAACATTCATTCTACCATTCCATAATTCTCTTCCCCAGAATCTTCTCCTTTCATCTATTGGGTTATCACTGCAATCAAAATCTTCAAAACATGCCAACTTCTGCAAATCCCAAAACTTGATTCTTCAAAGAAATCCCCCAAATTTTCGTTTAAATTACAAATTATCTCCATATTCGGATGATTTATTGGAAGTCAGCGATGCCCAAATTTCGCAAGAGAACCCAATTGTTGGAATTTCGGAATCGCGGGGTCAAGGGGTTAGTCTTGATCCATTTTGGGTAGCTTCTCTGCTTCAATCACGCTCTAGATTAAAAGATGTAAAATTGATACATGCTTTGATTTTGAAGTGTTTGAATGATTCTGTTGTGTTTGTTAATAACAATTTGATTAGTGTATACTTGAGTTTTGGAAAGTTAGAAGAGGCTCGCAAGGTGTTCGATGAAATGCCTGAGAGAAGAAATGTTATTTCTTGGACCACAATTCTTAATGGGTATTTGAATTTTGGTTTAGAGGATGAGGGTCTTAGTCTTTTTGGTGAATTTGTGAAGTCGGAGATTCAAGCGAATGGGACGACGTTTGTGTGTGTGTTGATTTTGTGTGGAAAGAAGTTGAATTTTGAGTTAGGGAAACAGGTTCATGCTTGTATTATAAAAGGAAAATGGAGCAATTTGATAGTAGATAGCGCTGTTATGTACTTCTATGCACAATGTGGGGATTTTTCGAGTGCTTTTCGTGTCTTTGATGGCATGAAAGAGCGGGATGTGGTTACTTGGACTACGATGATCACTTCTTGCTCTCAACAAGGCTACGGTGAGAAGGCCTTCTCACTTTTCTCAGAAATGCTAATGCACGAATATGTACCCAATGAACACACTATATGTAGCGTTTTGAAGGTGTGTGGAGAAGAGAAGGCACTGAAATTTGGGAGACAGTTGCATGGCATAGCAGTTAAGAAACTGATAAACAATGATGTTTATATTGGCACTTCACTCCTGGATATGTATGCAAGATGTGGAGAAATTGAGGATTCTAGAAAAGTGTTTGATGGGATGAAAAGGCGAAATATGGTTACATGGACTTCAATCATTGCCGGGTATGCTAGGAATGGGCTTGGGTATGAGGCGTTGAAACTTTTCCGTGTGATGAAACGAAGAAAAGTAGCAGCAAATAATTTGACATTTGTAAGCATACTCCGAGCCTGTGGTTCTATTGGTGCTCTGGTAATTGGGAAGGAAGTTCATGCACAATTACTGAAGAACTCATCACAGAACAACATCTACATAGGAAGCACTCTTGTGTGGCTTTATTGCAAATGTGGTGAATATGGTCTTGCTTCAAGGGTTCTCCAACATATGCCCCTTCGAGATGTTGTCTCATGGACTGCCATGATCTCTGGTTGTACTCAATTAGGGTATGAGTTTGAGGCTTTTGAATTTTTGAAGGAAATGCTCAAAGAAGGAGTGAAACCAAACCCGTTTACATATTCCTCTGTTCTGAAGGCTTGCGCAAGCCTAGAAGCAGTTAAGCATGGAAAACTAATACACTCGTCTTTGAATAAATCCCCTACATTTTCAGACAATATATTCGTGGGGAGCTCCCTGATTAATATGTATGCCAAATGTGGATTTATTTCAGATGCATTACAAGTCTTCAATAGTATGAAAGAAAAAAACTTGGTTTCTTGGAGATCTATGATAGTGGGATATGCAATGAATGGGTACTGCCGCGAAGCTCTGCAGCTCATGTACCAGATGCAAGAGGAAGGTCTTCAAGTGGATGATTACACTGTCACAACTGTTCTTAGTGCGTGTGGAGATGTGGAATGGAATACAGAATCTCTTACTGATGAACTGCTACTGAGTTGATCCTGATTCTATTGACTAACTGTACATATGTTTGTGGATGAATTAGTTGTATCATGTAAATTCATAAACAAAGCAATTACGAAAAGTTGAATCCAAAGGTATGTGTAACTTTGATATGATCTAAATTAGTCTCAATTAACTATATACATCTAAAAAAAAAAAAAACAGAAAAAGTTCTTGTTCCTTCTTAATCACACAGGCTCACCACTCATTGCAAATTAGTAAAGAAATAACATTTGCTTTATTACTGAAGTCAAATGGAAAAAAGGGCAAAAGATTATAACTCACCATCAAATGATTACTAAATGCTATTGTAGTTTCAGTGCATAATTTTTAATTTCTATCTACTAAATGAGGAGATAAAGCTTTAGTTTTATAGTAAAGTTGGAGAAACCAAACAGAAAAACCAGGAAAAACTGAAGCAGGGAAAACAAGAGACTCGCAATATTGGATTCAACATGATCCAATTAACACAGCAGGAGGCAAAAGGAGGTTAATTATCTTGAATGTTAAGTACTGTTAAAACCCAATAGAGTGGCTTCAATTAACCAGAGATCCACAAAATCAATCCCTCATACAAAATTACGAATAAAAAAAAACCCAAAATTCTTACAGTACAAAAACACAAACCAATTTCAAGAATTTAGAACTTAAGAATTGAACCACAAATATAATATCAATAAATTACGATGAATGCTCGGATATTGATTAACCCAAAACAGCTAATTCCGATGATTAAATGTGTATAATAGATTAAACCACAAACTAAAACAAATTTAGAAGTATAATGTTACAAGAAACTAAAATTGTAATCTAAAAATAATATTCCTAATTAGTCATATTTGGTTCAAGAAGCTTAAAAATCCTTGCACGTACTACTATTCTTTGAATCTACAAATGTTGTAAACGGAACTGCAAGAACAAAAATAATAAGAACAATGTTACCGGGAATGAGACTGAGTCGCGGAGTATGTCGCTTTCTTTAGAACATTCACGTATTGCCTCTAATTTGTGCAAGCAGACAACAGTAGCATAACGACAGCCAAAAATCAGCCAAAACGGTTACCAAAAATCCAGAAAAGTAGTAACAAAGTATTCTGAATTAAAATAAAAAAGGTAATGTTGAATGAGAATTGGAATAAAACAGTTATGAAGGGAATTAGTCAAAAAAACGTTTAGCAAAAATCAAGGCACTAATTACTTAATTAAGCCTTGTTCAAACACTGATGCGCGTGTGCGATAACATTGGCGTGGTAGGTACGCCTTCTCTCCACAAAATGTGGGTAGCCCTTGGGCCACACCCAACTATTCCACTCTATATATTATAAAAGAGGAAAAACTCTTATTTTCCACTAATGTGGGACTTTGTGATTTTCACAAAATTCATATCCATAGTCCCATACACACTTTGTTCCAACTAGTAATGAATTTTACTATTTCAACTTTCGTACATTGTGTGCTGGGCGTCCTCCGGAATCCTTGATCCGCGCTTGAAGTTGCAGTACCGGACAGTGTAGTTCTCGGTGGAAGGTAGCATTGTGTGAGATGTCCTTATTAAGTTGAAAGACGGCAGTTCCGAAGGTCTCTGTGTAGAGAAACGGCACCCTAGATAAGATTGTTACGTTGAATTTAGCTTGTCGTTGGGAATAAAGAAGAGGAACTTGTAGTTCCCAACTCCATCCTCGTCGAGAGGGGTTAAGAACATCCAAGTCCTCCAACTCCGCTCAACCAACCCACCAACGAATGTTGACAGTTTTCCAAACCTCAGCTTCCTCACCGGCGGATCTACGTTCAACTCCAAAGACCACCACGTCTCCTCTCTCTCTGTCTTGCTTGATGATATTCCCATCGATCAATAACCTTTTATTTATTTTTTTATTTTATTTATTTTATTTATATTTTTATTTTTTTCCGTAACTACAATAACGAACACTCCTCTCCTTGGCCTTTTGAAGATAAAGAATACGTAATTAATGTTGTGTATTTTATAGCTTTAGGCCAAGCCGCCTTATACAACAATTCGGATATCTGTTAGTTAACCCACGTAGATCGGTAAACCTATTTACATTCGGATCAACTTTTTTAATTTATTTTTTAATTATCCAAATCAAATTCCCTTTCTTTAATTCCTTAGTTGCCAATCTCTATCATCTTATTGTTTTTATTATATATTTTTTTTCCAATTCGATCCAGAAATAAACAGGAAATCTCTCCAAATTCGTACGTAATGCATTGCAGCATTGGGTATACTTTGTACTCCCTCCAATTTATAATAAGTGTTCCACAAACTTTCATATTTTTTTTAAATGGTCGGGATTACTTGGTCAAGGATTACTCACTCAGTCGGGACAGTGGGCTAAGGCTAGGAGTCAAACCCCAGACCCATGGGGCCCAAGCGCACAATCCCAAACCCCTTGCTACCATTGAGCTGTGCTTCTTTTCCTATCTCACCTACGCACACAAATTCTATTTATTCTTTTTTTTTCTATTTTTTTAAAATGAAAAAAAAACTTTTTTTCTTGAAAAATCAATGGGTTCAATGAACCCACTTGAATCCACCATGGATCAGCCACTAGTCAGGGATTACTCGATCAGCTAGGGCGGGTTACTTAGTCAAGGTTTACTTGATTGGTCAGGGGTTACTCGGCCAGTTAGGGGTTACTCGGTCGATCAGCGGTTATCTTGTCAAGGGTTACTCTTGTGTTAGCTGACCACATAGTGCGGCCAGCCACACACAAAAGCTGCTGTAAGTGTTCTATTTCTTTTGGGCACATATGTTGATGCTAATCTTGTATCAATAATATCTTATGTATAAATCACAAACAATAGTCAAACTAAAAGTGTTGATGGAACACTTATTTAATGAATAAAAGGAGTATGTGATCATCTAAATAGTTTTAAAAAAAAATGTTACTTATTAGCTAGTGATGTTAATTTAATGACAATTTTTATTTTAAAAGTGGTTGTACATACAGCTAGATATAATTTAATTATATTTGATCATTTGCACAAATTTTTGGTCATTTAAATGAGCAATTTTTAGGGTTGTACAAAGTTTGGTTTAATTGGTTTAAACCGGACCAAATTGTAAACCAAACCACATTCTCATGGTTTGGTTTGGTTTGGTTTTTTTGTCATTAAATATGGTTTACAATTTGAGTTTGGTTTTTTTTTTATTATAAAACTTAAACCAAATAGTAAACCAAATTTCCGATAGGATTTACGTATCTAACCACAACCCCGCAAATTAAACAAAATCGATCCATAAAAGTAATATATAGGTACTTTTAACATATATTAAAAATTCTAAAATTACATATGATTAGTAATTTTTAAATATAAAGACTTATTGGTATAGTAAAGTTTTTGGTCTTAAGAAGGTTAATTACCTCTTAAGACCAAAAATGTAACTCATATTATGAAGCGGCGACGGATTCACTCAAAAAGTTGTATGAGATAACGAATCGAGAATGTGCCGAGCGAATTGTTATATATATGTATTTGGATTCTTAGCCCTTCCTCGGTTAATTCTTGTTTGAGTTTGTTAAATTTGTTTTCATTGTTGTTAATTGTCAATTGTAAATATCGTATGACTTTCATTAATGAAATTTAATGTCCTTTGGAACTAAAAAAAAAAAAAAATAACTTGTATGATCTAGAATGCTAAGCACATGCAGCAGTTAAAACCCAATAGAATAGCTTCAATAATTAATCAGATCGAGATCCACAAAGTCAACCCTCATATAAATCAAATCAAAGAAAACCAAAATCTTATAAAAGCACAAAAAAAATTTAGAATTTAGAACTCAGGGATTAAATCATAAATATCAATAAATTACCAATTCATCAAATTTTCGGACATTAATCAACCCAAAACAGCTAATTGGACGGTTAAATCTAATATATATATTATATAAATAAAGTAGACATATTTGGAGAGATTTGGAGCGCCACATAAGAAATATACTTATTTCGACCAATAAGAAGAAAGATTTGTATTTTATTTTTGAATTAAGAAATTATGTCGCCACCTAGATAAAAGTAACGAATAGATTTGATATATTTAAAATTTTAATGCCACGTATATTATAATCCACGAATTAAGTTATTTTAATGAAAAAAATAAAGTAAAAATATAGGAAAGGATAAATTTATTAATTCAATAATACGAGTGTGAGAAATCCAAAAAAAATATACTAAGAAATATTTAAATGATAAACGCTTATAATAAAGTTTGATACCTATCATTATAAGATAAATTCTGATAGTATTTATGATAAGAAATACAAATTGTTCGTTAATTATAATTAAATTAAAATTTGTGATACATACCATTATAAATTGACACATCATATGACACAAACAAAATTTCGTATCAATAAAAAACCCCATCAAGCGAATTTTGTGTTAGTAATTTTGTGTTAATTTTTGGTCATCAATGGTCGGGTAATTTTTAGCTTAATTTTTAAAATCCTATGTTTAAATTAGTATTTCTAATTATTACTTACATTGTATTAATTTGGGATACTCAAAGATTATATGTTTATGTTTTATTTACTAAATGTTTTTTTACATGCAGATCTAACACATCATATATACAACACAAATAAAATTTCGTATCAATACAAAACCCCATCAAGCGAATTTTGTGTTAGTTTTAGGTCATCAATGTCCGGGTAACTTTTAAAATCTTATGTTTAAATTTATATTTGTAATTATTAGTTACATTGTATTTATTTAGGATACTTAACGATTATTTGTTTATGTAATGGCATACGATTAGATGTTGTATACTTAATATATGGATGGCTTTGGTTATTTTTGGAGATGATGAAAAAATTCCAATGCATAGATTTGATTTTATATCGCAATGATTTTTCATTTATTGGTAAATATATTGATTTATTTTATATAAATGTAAAGATTTAATTTATATCAATTCAGTTTGGCTAACATTTCACGGTTCAATTTATCTATTGATGTAGTAGGTTGGTTGTGGACGAGGTTGGTGATTCTATCAAAATAAAAGATATGGTAAAACAATGAATAATGATTTAGGATTTAAATTATTAAAAATATATCATTTCACATTAAAGATTTTATATAACGAAAAGAATT